TTTTGGTTTTGGGCTGAACATTCTTTCACAACCCCTGTGCCCCTCTCCACCAAAGGATGGACGACGGCGCGCGAGCGCTCTTTCCAGGTCACCGAGCGCAGAGGCAGCTCAGCTAGAAGTGCTACGGCACCCGGGATATCCGACGTACCGGCCCGCTGAGTATGCGGGACTTTCTTTCGCGCGTAGCGAGACTTTGTCCTACGCGGACCGACCTAATCTCTTGGCGCTACCAGTCAATACCCTACAAGCTATGCCTCTCGAGTATTGACGGCAGGCATAATCCAGCCCTATGCAGGGACTTACCGGAAAAGTGTACACGTGTCTTGGACTAGGAAGGTTTCTGCTCTGTTATCTTCTGGGAGCCCTTTCGGCTCCCCCTATTTAATCCTATGCTTCTCATACAAATATCTAATGAAATGTAGTCTCTACCGACCCTTCAGCTGAGTTCTGGCGACCGTTGAGCTCAGCGGCTGTCCGGATAGCATATCCGGACAGATCGCCGAGTACTTACCGTGATCCTTGGCTCCTAAGCTCTGGGTTATCAGACCGAGCCGATTCTTGACCTAAAGTAGGTCGGCGTATGGTCGAATCTGGAAATCCCTACACCACAGCAGACTGCGGCGGCAGCTTTCAGAAAAGTGTCACCGTCGTCAGCGAATGTCACATGACGACCGCGTACAGCTGGGACGAGAGTGACAACGACCATACGCAGATGTAGACTAGCTTGAGATAATCGTAGCTACAGACAAGAGCTGCAGTTTTTCTAGGTAGATCAATACATCGGCTGTCGAATTTGTGTCAAATCGCTTTTTCCAGTAACTCAAGCTTTTCGGTTTGAGCTCGCGATCTATTTAACCCTTCCGAAGCCAGTTGGCACAAATTCGGAAAGGGTACGTTACTCGGTGCGTTTTACGGCAAAGGGCGGCGCGCAGGAGTGTTAGGGTCTTTTCTCAAACTTCATTAAGTACATAATGAAATTAAATTAAGTTCGAGTAGTACCTATAAGCCAAGGATAGCCACATGTTTCTAAATGGGCAATTCTTGTCGCACTTCGAGCTACTAACAAATTGGAAACGAGATATATTGAAGGAGAAACATAATTTTAAGGCCGTGCTCAGCTTGAAAATGTGATTTCGCTAAAATTGCTTTTAGCAACTCAATCGAAAGTAGTTACTTCGTGAAAACAAGTCTACAACCAATTTGGAAGCCAAGGCATTTGAGGGTTTTCTAAAACGTAGGTATAAAACCTCAAAACCTCGAGAAGCAGAATAAAACCTCACTGAAATAGCAATTTGGGAGCAAGTCAATAAATATTGTCGAATCCTTAAAATCGCTTTTTCGATAAAAAGAAAAAAAAGATGAAGGCAAGCAGAAAATATTACTTTAAAATAGAAGAGGAAATATTTGGTAAACTAGTTTAATGCCAAGGTTCTGCAACTACAGAACATCAAGGCAAACAGTTGCAAATACAGAAATGCATTATACTCTTTAGTGACCGTGCATTTAGGTTAGTACTAGTAGCCAAGACACGAGCTTAGATGTTAATTCGCTTACGGTGATCACTTTCACACCACGCAAATACTTTACTTCTCATAACATTACTTTACCATTCATACTAGCCGAGCACTGCAATTTGGCTTTTGCCCGACATATGCCATTGATCGCGATTGCGGCTCTTTTTCAAACGCCGCACTTCAAACTCATCTTGAATCTCCTGGATGGTCTTGCCGTATGTGTCAGGCACGACGGAGAAGAAGAAGAGGAACGACAGTGTGATCGTGTACATGAACGGCACGAACGAGAAGTTGCCCAAGGCAGCAGCAAGGTATGGGTACACCAAACCAACCGTAAGACTGCATAGCCAGCTGCAACCCACACAAATTGAGCACCCCACCGCGCGTACGTCGTCTGGAAAGAGATCAGCCATGACTCCCCACGCCAGCGGTCCAAGACTCGCACCAAACGTCGTCACATAGAGCGCAACGAACACAATAGCCAATGGAGACACACTAGTCACGAGGGTCACAGTGATACCCACTGCACTGAGCAACATTCCCGTAAATCCAATCAAGATAAGCTTACGGTTGCCCAGACGTGCTGATAGCAGGCCACAGAAAAGGGTCGGAAGAACATTGACGAAATTAACCAACAAGACACCGATACGACTGTCTGAAAGGCCGGCTTGCTTGAAAATACCGGACGAGTAAAAGAACACGGCGTTGACACCGGTAAGTTGCTGGGCGGCAGCCACACCAATAGCCACAAGTAGTTGTCGAATCAGAGCTGGTGAGAATAAATCCACTAAACCGCGAGCTTTGGGGGCATTCGGGGCCATCAGAGCCATCGACATCCGAAGATCCTGCATCGGCTGCACGAACTCACTGCCTACTCCAACTCGGGGTGCCGTCTCTTCTTCCTGTTTCATCCACGTCTTTGCGAGAAACACATTCTCTTGGCCGAACAAGCGTGCAAGCTCATGTTCTGCAGCTAAGGGCTTGCCTGCCATCAACAGCCACGCGGGGCTCTCCACCAGCACGAACGGTGCAAGCACCAAGAATAGAAACGCCAATAAGATAGGGAACGCCGCAATATACCTCCAACCGGTACTCGTACTGGCGAAAAAGAAAGTGATAGCAACGCACAGGTGTCCGAGCGTAATAGAGATCTGGAAACAGACGCCCAACTTGCTACGGAGATTTGGTGGACAGATCTCTCCAATGAACCCGGGAATGACGGCAGTCGAGCCGCCTGCTGCGATACCTGCGAAGACGCGTCCTACTGTGAATGTCGTGATGTTGCTGGCCGCGGCCTGGATAACTGCGCCTGCAATCATGAAGAGACAGTTGGCCATCATAGTAGGCTTTCGTCCGAACTTGTTGGACACTCGTCCAGTCACCAGAGCTCCGATCATACCTCCGACAATCCAGGAACTAACCGCAATAGTCCACTGTGTCTTGGTATGTCCCGGGAACATGAGGCAAGTGCCCGGTGCGATGGGTCTTGCGTCGCAGTCCACCTCGTTATTAAAAATCGAATTGTTCATTTGCGAAGTGGACCATCCGAACTGGAACGGTTGTAGTGCTGCTACCAGTACGTTGGCGTATAGTCTTAACGTTGGTTTAATAGTCGGGTTGGCCTGGGTCTGTGGTGGTGCCTGTGTTACTACGGGTGTCGGAACAAGCCAAACATGGCTGGAACTGCTCATAGACGGCGTGAACTCCATTTGTGTTTCTTTTCGCAGCGATTTGCACTAACAATCTCTCTCGTGTGGGACCTAGTTCGGACGATGAGGCAATTTTGTTGTCGATATTGTGGCTTTGGTTGTGTCAACGCAATTGTCGGAATGAAGCTCCTGTAGTGATGCCGCGTGCCAACCTCAGGGTTACGCTTGACACTTGTGCAGTCGAGAAGGATGGTGGATCGTTGCAATCCGGTCACGTTAGCCCCCTCCACAGCAGCATGCTCGCTTTCTGCTGTACTTGTTGAGGTTTTGTTTGTTACGTACCACAAGCGCCACTGATTCTACAGAGCAACTGTTAGTCAGAAAGTGATTTCGACTATTTGTATTAATATACTCGCGGCAGGACCACAAAATGCACTGGAGTCACTCCAGTGGAGTGTAATAATTTCCTGTATGGAAGCGAACGTCACATATTTTAGCAGAGAAAAACTAAACCAGATTGAACGGTGGAAGCATACAGCTGACCATAATATGGATATTACTTGGCACTGCCAAGATGTGTCGTGGTTCTCGTAAAAGCGCTGAAGCCAAACTTTCAAGCAACTAAAAGGCAATGTATCAAAACCAATAAACATAATTTGTGGATTTCCGTTTATTTATGCTGAACTTACCGACTGTGTCCGTACTAATTAACAAAAAATTAGAGCTATTAAAACATTTTAATAATAAGAAAAAAAGCAGATCCTCTTGCACATCAAGTCAATTTATCGACCAATTCCCCGTCGTAGTATGTATGCCAACAGACGGAAACTCAATAACAGCAGACAAGGTAAAGCATCCTGACAGCAGCTGTAGCTGTCACAGCTTGCTACGGAAAAGTCCAACGGTGCTTTGTGGGCAGAAATGTGACTTATGTGCCCCAGCGTTCCTCAAATTCAGAACTGGACTCTAACGACACCAATACGTTCGACTCGACTATCCGCGATTTGTACTGCCCATAGCACAAGGGTCGTTTCGTACCACGCGACGCATTCAGCAGGTAAAATACAATGGATCGCTCGCTCCTCCCGATGTACCAGGAGGACAGCGTTCACGAGGACTCACACTGTCATCCGAGATTATTTCGACGAGTCTAAGTATCACATTGGTGGTAATGTGGCAGCGATACCACTGCAGTGCCGGCCTGTTTAAAGAATGACAAGAAGACAGCATGAATGCATTGCTGCACGTGATGCACGTAAGATATGAAGCTATTGACTCAGCAAATATCCCCTTGAAGCATTTATCGCGCTGTACGGTTACGTTTTTCGTATGTGGTTTCTATTGCGGCTAACTACTTGTTTTTGTTGAGCTCTGCAGATACTCAGCTTAACACCACCACCGGCTTCTGAGCTTTCCTAGATCGGAACGTGGCTTGGATCTCCTCGGTGCTCTTACCTGCAGTCTCCGGGATCCAAAACTGAGTGAAGAAGAAAAACGCAGCGGTGGTCACCATAAAGGGGACAAACTTGTACTCGTCTAGCGCATCCGAGACGTACGGGAAGCAGACGCCAATGATCAAGTTGCATACCCAATTGATAAAGATGCACATAGAGACGGCAGTGGCGCGTACCGAGTCCGTGAACAGCGCGGCCGTGATAGGCTAGATAAGCGGCCCCACGCTCGCAGAGAAGAACGCAACGAATGTACCCATGAAGACGATAGAGAGTACCTCGACCGACAACGCAAGCGCCAAAGTTATACCCGTAGCACTAATAAACATCCCGGCCAGTCCAGTAAGCAGAAGCCGTCGGTTGCCGAATCGCTCCGACAATCGCGCAACAGCCATCGTCGGTAGTAACATCAGCACGTACACGATGACGCCACCCACACGACCATCCGACATCCCTGCATCCGAGAAGATATCGGACGAGTAATAGCACACCGCGTTGATACCCGTAAGTTGTTGCGCAGCTGATACACCAAGAGCCACAAGCAGTTGCTTGATAAAGAGCGGCGAAAACAGCAGCGACAATGTGCCGCCTTCGTGCTGTTCGCCGCACAGTTCCTCTGACTCCAGGTCAGTATTGATACCTGGTTCCATCCACGTCAGTGCTACTGGGACGAAATCGAAGCCGTAAAGTCTGGCGATCTCCCGCTCCGCATGCTCCCGGTCGCCCTTTTCCAAAAGCCACGCGGGACTCTCTACAAGAACGAACGGTGCGAACGCCAAGAAGAAACCGGCGTTAAGAACGGGAAATGCGGCGATGTACCTCCAGCCGCTACTGGTATCCGCGAAGAAAAAACTGATGGTCACTACTAAGATACCGGCAGAGAGAGATACCTGCATGAACGTGCCGTACGAGTTACGGAGACTCGGGGGTGTAATCTCACTGATGTAGCCACCCACCATACCCGTCGCACAACCCGACGCGATACCGGCGACGATACGCCCGACCATAAAAACCGAGATACTCGACGTACTCGCTTGAATGACAGCGCCGGCCAACATGACGACGGCGTTCGCCAGCAATACCTTCTTGCGACCGAAACGTTCGGAGATAACGCCACAACCGAGACTCCCGATCATACCGCCTACAATCCACGCGTTCACGATCAAGGTCCATTCCGTGCTGCTATGACCGGGAAACATGAGGCACGTTCCGTCGACTAGAGGTCGCGCGTTGCACTCGTCTTCGTCGTTGAAGGTCGTGAGGTTGAGCTGGCCGACCGACCAGCCGAACTGGAAGGGGAGCAGGAGCAGCACCGCGAGGCTGAACCAGAAGGTCGGCGAGAGCGGGACGGATCTGCCGGCCTGGACATCGCCGGCCTTGGGCGTCTTCGCTTCCGTGAACACCGCGTCTTCAGCGACCATGGATCGCAGTTCGATAGTCGATATGTCACTAACGTGGTGAGTTTCACAATGAGGTTGCGTGCCGGTGCGTCGTCGATCTCGGCCGCTTGGCCATGCAACACCCTACACTGGACTTGCAGTAGACACGCGGTTATTATAGCGACCTTTTTGTGTGGAGCGCAGCACAGCGACGGGCGATTTAGTCGAGCATGCATACACGGCCTTACCTCGACCGGCTACGCTTTGGTCGGTGCACTCAGTTTTCGATGACCATGCAAAGCTGCATGGACGTCGTTGGATCAGGGCATCCATGTATTTGTCGGGGTCCGAGTCGGGGCCCCGACACATACATGGATGCCCTGCCGATGTGGTGTATTTTCCGGCGCAAGAGGTGCCATGCAGCTCGTGTACACATCTGTCAAAACCACACGCGCTTTTAGAATAACTTCACGCGCATTCAGAATAACTTGAAGGTGCAGTCGTTTTCGCGTTCGCAGTTGGGATACTATCAATACATATGTACGTGTAACTGGTACACGAGTGACTCGTACACTCGAATGACGATTGTTATCCTCGTGCAGGTCAACTTAGCATGCAAGTATTCAATTACACAGAGCACAACGCCACCAGCTTCATTATTACATAAACCACGTCCAGCACTTACTTACAGCAACTTATCCCAGTACTGGGATCTGACTGTTACCAGACATCCGCCATTGCGGTTTCTTCTTCGATTTCTGCCACTTCGCGTTGAATTCGTCTTGAATCTCCTGGATGGTCTTGCCGTATGTGTCAGGCACGATGGAGAAGAAGAAGAGGAACGACAGTGTGATCGTGTACATGAACGGCACGAACGAGAAGTTGCCCAAGGCAGCAGCAAGGTATGGATACACCAAACCAACCGTAAGACTGCATAACCAGCTGCAACCCACACAAATTGAGCACCCCACCGCGCGTACGTCGTCTGGAAAGAGATCAGCCATGACTCCCCACGCCAGCGGTCCAAGACTCGCACCAAACGTCGTCACATAGAGCGCAACGAACACAATAGCCAGTGGAGACACACTAGTCACCAGGGTCACAGTGATACCCACTGCACTGAGCAACATTCCCACGAATCCGTACAAAATGAGCATTCGGTTACCCACACGAGCCGCTAGCAGGCCACAGAAAAGGGTCGGAAGAACATTGACAAAGTTGACCAACAAGACACCGATACGACTGTCTGAAAGGCCGGCTTGCTTGAAAATACCGGACGAGTAAAAGAACACGGCGTTCACACCGGTAAGTTGCTGGGCGGCAGCCACACCGATCGCCGTCAGCATCTGTGGTAGCAGCGTGGACGAGAATAGTCTCGAGAGGGAGCTTTGTTGACCCGCGTCGGGCGATGGCGCTATCATGGACATGCCGAGGTCTTGAAGTCGAACGCTTCCTTCACGTTTGGACTCGGGGTCGTCTTGCTGTTGGTTGATCCATTTCTTGGCTGTGTAGACATTGTCCTCTCCAAATAGACGCGCTAGTTCTTTCTCAGCTTCCTTAGGTTTGTTATCCATCAGCAACCACGCGGGACTTTCAACCAGCACGATGGGTGCCAGCAGTAGAAACAGCGACGCAAGAATGATAGGGAATCCTGCAATGTACCTCCAACCGGTACTCGTACTGGCGAAGAAAAACGTGATCGCAACGAACAAGTGTCCGAGCGTAATGGAGATCTGGAAACACACGCCCAGCTTGCTACGGAGGTGTGGCGGACAGATCTCTCCAATAAACCCGGGAATAACGGCGGTCGAGCCTCCGGCCGCGATACCAGCGAGGACGCGTCCCACTGTGAATATTGTGATGGTGCTGGCTGAGGCCTGTACTGCGCCTCCTGCAATCATGAAGACGCAGTTGGCCATCATAGTAGGCTTTCGTCCGAACTTGTTGGATACTCGTCCGGTTAGGAGAGAGCCAATCATACCTCCGACAATCCAGGAACTGACGGCGATAGTCCACTGTGTCTTGGTGTGTCCAGGGAACATGAGGCAAGTGCCCGGTGCGATGGGTCTTGCGTCGCAGTCCGCCTCGTTATTAAATATCGAGTTGTTCATTTGCGAAGTGGACCATCCGAATTGAAGCGCTTGCAGTACTGCAACCAAGATATTGGCGTATAATCTCCAGGTCGGCTTTACCACTTGTGTCTCTTCCTCGACGGCTGGTGCAGGCATCATTACCATGGGCGTCGGGGCAACCCAGACGTACCCGCTCGTACTGTTGATCATCGACGCAGAGAAATCCATGGTTTCCGCGAATGGGTTAGATAGTTAATAGTCCCAGACAATTTGATTTTATTTTTTATTGACCAACGATAGCTCTGCCGTATTCGTTGGCAAATATCAAAGTGACGTTCTGTATTCTATCGCCTGCAACATGTAAAGTCGGTGTCTTTGACTTTCCGTGAGTCCTTTTGACGGCCATTCCCCTTATTTTCTGTGACATATACGTACGCCCATGTACTGCACAACCGTGCGCTCAAAATTATGATGGCGATGCTTGCTTTGCCAGGATGGGAGCAAAATCGATTGGGATACTGTCGGTTGTAATTGTCCACTGACCTGGCGTGTGACCCGTGTGTTGAAGAAACTACAGTACTGTACTGCCACAGATTTTAAGAACAACTATTATAGCTGTCCGATCCAAAGAGCGGTCAGTAGAAAGGACACAATCTAAGAAATAAACAAGAGCGGAATGAGGCTCAATCAATAGCTTCGCATGCAGTCAAGGTTGCTTACGAACGGAGGCCCATGCTTCGATAGTGTAAGCAGCGTGGATGGAGCTTTCACATCACTTGGTATTACAGTGGACAGTTCAAGTATCAATTCAAGTACAAATGTAACAAGCTTTGAAAGTTGTTTACGTTCATGTCCAGAATGTGAAATACCGGTACCGGTAGCTTAGATTTGCTTAAAAGCGATCGACGACGTGATCGGTACCGTAATGTATTGTTTTAACAATACCGGTCGGTACATGTACGTCAACACTTCAAAATTTGTACATGTACAACCAAAATCGTTCTTATTTTTTTTTTAAAAAAGCGGTTTACATGCTGTTGGTGCGTTATACTTTGAATAGTGGTAGTTATTCACTTTGATTTCTCGGTCCAATTCGTCTACATACATTGTCCACTTCCGGCATTGCCATTTTCCTGAAGGAACATGTGCTATTTAGCAACTTTCTTTGGTCAACACATTTCTTCTATTGCGCTGTCTTGTAGATTACCGGTATGGTACTTCGTACTACATGTATACTGCTCTTATAACTCTACATGTACATGTAACTCGTCAAACGAGCTATACCGGTTGATTCAGAGTAAGTTAACCGGTATTACACCTGTAAATGAGTTGTGTAACACGACAGATGAACGCAGAGAAACACCAGAAGTATTGGTAATTTGTCAGGTCGCACCGGTACAAATCACACAACCATTATGCAATGTACTATCCAGGCTGGCGCGTCCCAGCATGTAAAATCCTCAAGAAACCATCGTTTGACACCAAGAACGCTGTGCAACAAGTTGCTAACAACAGGCACAAAACATACTTAAAAAAAGAAGAAAAAAAAGTACTATTGTAATACTACATGTAGATGCTATTACATACCATATATGGTACTGTAGTAAGTTTTTATCCGGATGCACGTACAGTACTGTACCTTGGCTACACCATTTCAGGTTCGTTCTGAATGGTCTCGAAATGACATAAGCTGGTACTTTCGCATTAATTGTCAAAAAAAAATTAAAGAGACACCTGTGTGTATTGAACTCAGGCATTGGGTGTTTTGAACTGAGATTTGCCCGGTCCTATGTGCAAGTCGGCTCCGGGGTGGTTGTATCGAGCTCCTGCGGTGGCCTGAAATGGTGTAGTTTTTGTTAGCGACTTCATTTCACCCTGATCTGGCACTACAGTACATGTAATATGGATATAGACCCACCTCGAAGTTTGTATCAGTACACTATTACTAACGTTACCTATACATGAATAATACCTTTACATGTACCTTTGCCAACACCGATTTGCTTTTCGATACCGATATTATACCTGTCGTGCGTTAAATTAGTCCTGCTTCTCTTGCATTGTCTTCCCGGACGTATCGGGTACGAACAAATACACAAACACGTACGATAGCGCAACTGTGCACATGAACGGCGTGAAACTAAAGTCGCCCAAGGCCGCAGCAACGTACGGGTAGCTCAGACCCACAGTGAGATTCGACAACCAGCTACATCCGACGCAGACGGCGTTGCCCATAGGCCGAGCTTCATCTGGGAAAAGGTCTGCCATGACGACCCACGCCAGAGAGCCAAGACTCGAGCCAAACGCAGTGACATAAGTTGCCGTGAATACGATCGCGAGAGCAGGTAAGCTGGCAACAAGCGACGCCGTGATCCCCACCGCACTCAAGAGCATCCCAGCTAAACCGTAAAACATGAGTTTCCGGTTGCCAAGACGAGCAGCTATTACCCCACAAAACAAGGTTGGCAGCGCATTAACGAAGTTGACGGCCACAATTCCGATACGCTCGTCTGCTATCCCAGCTTGTTGAAATAGCGTGGACGAGTAGAAGAAAACGGCGTTGATACCAGTGAGCTGTTGAGCTCCAGCAATTCCGATTGCTGTCATTAGCTGACGGATAAGCATTGGCGAAAACAGTCTGGCAAATGTGAACGGTGTGGCGGGATCCGGAGACACTGACACGGTCGATTCCTTTAATGGTGCGCTGTTGGACGCAACTCGCGGCGCGTGGTCCTGCTGAAGCCACGTCTTGGCGAGGGACACGTTTTCCTTCCCGTAAAGACGTGCCAATTCCCTTTCTGCGTGTTGTTGCTTTCCCACCACTAACAACCACGCGGGACTTTCAACAATAATGATAGGTGCCAAAATCAAGAACAATGTTGCCAATGCAATGGGAAATCCCGCGATAAAACGCCAGCCACTTTTTGTGTCGGCAAAGAAGAAAGCAATTGCCACAAATAAATTACCTATCGTGATGGCCATTTGAAAGCCTACGCCGAGATTGTTGCGGAGACTTGGAGGTGAAATTTCACTGATGAATCCAGGGATAACTGCAGTGGCGCCACCAGACGCGATACCGGAGATTACTCGTCCTCCGATGAACATCCCCATGCTAGAAGCACTGGCTTGAACGACTGCCCCGGCTATCATGAAGAGGCAATTGGTCATCATGATCCGTTTACGACCGAATTTGTTGGACACGCGTCCGATCACGAGAGCGCCGAGCATTCCACCGAAGATCCAGGCACTTACCGCAATTGTCCATTGTGCTTTGGTGTGTCCAGGGAACATGAGGCAGGTGTCGGAAGCGACGGGTCTGGCGTCACATTCATATTCGTCATTGAAAGTATTCAGATTCAGCTGCGAGGTTGACCACCCGTATTGCAGAGGCTGCAGCAGCGACACTAAGACGTTGGCGTAGAGCACCCAACGCGGCCGAACTGGTGCATGAATGTCCGGCGCGGAAGTTATCCTGGAAAGAGATATTGGTGTGTGCGCTGCATGGATGTAGTCACTGGCACAGATTGACGACGGCGAAGTTATTTCCATTTTCCTTCTACCGCGTGTGGTGAACTTAATAATGAGGTGCTCCAATGAAGTTCGACTCCGTCGATTTAAGTTGGAGACGAGACCCTGCGTAATACATACTCACCTCGACTTACAGACTGTTTGTAACAGGCTGATGCAGTCTGATGCAGCATTCCAAATTTTGAAGTCCAAATCGTGACGGGAAAGTGTACATGTACGCAGCTGCCCGGATTTAAGTCTTGGGAATCCCAAGCTGGGATCAGTCCTACAACTTGTAGGCTACAAGACAGTGTCAGCAAGACTGTCTAGCTGACGGTGTCCACAGTCAGTAAATGAAGCTGTGAGTTTGAATCAAACTTTGATATTACATGTATAGCTTGTTGACTGTGGCTACGTCCCCAACCATGACCTTGGTATGCTCAAAATCCAATGCGTTATTGCCCATACAATGACTCACTAGGCGTGCATTGCTCAAAGGCAGAGTGCGGATGTAGGCTCAAGTTGAAGGCAAGGTAACTTCAAAGTGTAACTGTAGGTAGCTCATCTTTTTGACCTGTAAAAATTCGAATCAAGTCAAGCTGACATTGTCGGCGTGTGATTCGCTAAAACTAAATTCTAACGTTTTCAAAATCAGAAGAAAATCAGACTTCATCGTAATGCACGGGCAGTCGAACGCCGCGGCGCATACTGGAGGCGAGCAGAGCGGCACGTGCGCGTATCAGGACGCGAGTGCACAGCGATCTGCAGGGTGCATCAAGGTGGCGGTGGTGGGCGCAGGTTTCCTGGGAAAATGCATTGCGATTGACCTGTCCCTGTTGGGACTTCAGGTCGTCGTGTGCGATACGAACCCTCAGATTGGCGACGCGGTTCGTTAAAGCTAGAAAATGGGGTTCGAAAGGCAGTTTGTAACTGCTATATGGACGTGTTACAATAGCTGTCGTCGTATGCGTACGAGTTGCTGCACCCGTTGCTATACCTGGGCTACGTCACCAAGAGCATGGTGACTCAAGCGTGCGGCAACATCACGGTTGTCACGGATGTGGCGCAATGTGCCGACGCTGCTATCGTCATCGAAGCGGTAAGATCTACAGTCATAGTATCCCTTACCGTTATAATTCTAATGCAATATTTCGTGTCAGATTCCTGAAAACTTGGAGGCCAAAGTGAAACTTTTCAAGACGCTTGAGCAACACTGTTCGGCTTCAACAGTACTAACTAGCAACACAATCGAGCTCCCAGTCGACTCTATCCAGTACGTCACATTGCCATAAAATTCTAAAAGATGACCAGTACTTACTGTTATTATCCTGGTAGAATGCATCTGCAGCATCCTGACCGTTTCTTGGGCATGCGGTTCTTCTACCCATGCGTACTCATGTCCCCTGTGGAACTCACAGTGGGGACGTCCACATCGCAGCGCACTGTCGACCGCGTCGTCGCCTTCCTGCAACGTCTGGAGAAGCAACCGCATCGAGGTCCAACTAAGCGCGTGCTTACCAGCAAAGAGGCCAGCGCCTTCCAGTTCGACACGGCAGTGCGTGGCCACTTCTATCACGGTCTGCTGGAGCCCAAGCGCGTGTCCTCCGTCGCTGACATCATCACTCCTCAGCCAGGTCCTTCGCTTGTTGGACCTGACTTTAACGCAGAGAGAACATCACTTTAACAATTAAAGTTAAAAATGTTTAAAACAAGTCCACTGTCAAAACCCGTTTTAGTGACGTAGAATGCTTCAATTCCACGAGGTGGTCGACGCGCGAAAGGGTCGCTGCAACGTGGCCTCCGTCGCGCTACGAGCAGGTTCATGTGTGCTACGCACACCTGCCTTCTGCGCCGTGTCCTCTTCTTCCTGTGGCTGGTGTTTCGCGCCCCAATTGTCTCTCCAGCGCTGCACAGGCTGCCGTCAAGTTCAATACTGTTCTCGCAGGTGTCAAAAGCTCGACTGGTCGCAGCATCGGCGCGAATGTCAGGCCTGGCGCTCTATTCCAGTAGACGCTACTTTACCCACTGTTTTGCTAGTATGTCGTCTAGCTGCCAAGCTCTTTCTGAGCTCTAAAGTCGACCAAGAAGACAAGAATCGCATACTAAACCTACGCCATCACTTGGACGACCACACGGCGCCTAAGCAGCAACAGTTCTGTGAAACGACGCCGTTAGTGCACCTTCTTTTATCCGAATATAAAGTAGATAAACAGGAGCAGACTCCGAGCTTCGCAGAGCTCCAAGAATCTTTAAAGCCAGAGATACTGAAACTCTTTGGACAAGTCAGCTGCAACGGCTTCTCGATCATGAACGGCGTGACCAACGAGCCTGTAGGCATCGGGTTATTCCTCCAAGGATCGATGTTTAATCACGACTGCGATCCGAACTGTGTCGTGAGCTTTCAAGGCCAAGAAATGAATGTTCACGTGATCAAGGACGTTAAAGAGGGTCAAGAACTTACAATCTCGTACGTCGAGGTACTGCAGTCGACCAAGAAGAGACAAAAGATACTGAAAGACTCGTACTTCTTCGAGTGTCAATGCTCTCGGTGTACGACGGAGACGACAGACGACTGGTATCTGGATGGGCTACAGTGCGGTAACAAAGGCTGCCCAACCGGTGTCGTGGTACTGGACGGTGACCGTAACAATGCTGTCTGTAAAGTATGCGGTACAATACGTAACAAAGAGGAGATTAATAGTTACGAACAAGAGCTGCAGACACTTGAAAAGCTACCAGCTAACTGCGAAGAAGACAAGTGGAAAAAGTATCAGCAAATGTGGGAAATCGCCACGAGAAGACTGAAGCTGCATCCTCGGAGCTCACGAGCTGCTGTGCTGGCTCGTGACATCAGTAACTTCCTGACCGACGCGTCGTCTGTGGAGTTACAGCAGCAAGCTCTCCCATTCTGCTTCGCAGAGCTACACACCGTGGAGTGGCTGCTACCAAAGACAAATCTACCTTTTCGAGGCAGCATAAAGGCCCAGATAGGCAAACTCTTGTTGGGAGGCATCGCGTCGTCTGTAGATCGAGCTGAGCAGCTGCAACAAGCTACGAAACACCTTCAAGAAGCGCTGTCAGTGTAAGTAACCGAGTCTGTGATGTTAACGGTTAGTGTTCTGATAAGGGTGTTATTTTCTAGACTGGAATGCGCACATGGAAGTGCGAGTGACGCTGTGCGGGCTACACATTTGATACTGGAAGAGGTGTATCGAACAGCGCAGTAGTTTGTAACTTTAACTTGTTACAAGTTACAATACGGGTCAATCTTGGCTTTGTACGCTGCTCGGACGTACGCCGACGGGAGCAGCTTACTCAAGACCGCCTGGCCTAGTAGCTGCAGTCGTGGGTTACTGGGAAATTCGAACATAACTTGATGCACTGTCCGCACTAACATGAGATCGCTGTTAAGAGTTACAGTGTCCACCACTGCACCGTAACCCTTTCGGTGACTCTCCTGGTTACCGTCTGTCTCGTTCATTACTCGAAGTTTTTCATTCGTCGCATATAACGCACGTTGGATAAGTGCCTCGTCTAACGGGTTACGCTCGACTAGCTGAGTAATCTTAACAAACGTCCATTGTGCTGTCGGGTTATAGTGTTGTTTACGGGATTTCGCCTTGGCCATAGCGAGGAAATAGCGTCCTTCGTCCTCTAAGCTCTCGAATCTATCATGACAGCGTTTAGAAACGTCGTGACTTGAGATTTCTAGACTGCAGCGCCGTAACGAGAGTGCGTACAGTGGAGTCACAAGCTTCTTGTCAGTCTTTAGCTTGCTTGGTGTAGCCTCCAGTAGCGTCAACAGCACTCGATAATCTGATTTTTTTTTGCTTGCAGCCATCAGCAACGCACGCAACCCACGTCGCTCTTCGGTATCAGTGAGGATCATCTCTTGACAGTACTGTAACAGGATTTTTATCTTTTCAACGCTGACGTCGTGTATAATCGCCATGTGAAGAGGTAGGTTTCGTTTCTCGTTGTATACACGACAACCTTCGATGTATACGTCACATAATTTATGAAGAATCTCTATACTGAGACCATTTGCTGCTGCTGCGAGGTGGATCGGGAGGTCTCCAGTCGGCAAGGAACTCGTCTTACAAGCTGCTGGCATGAGGGTTAGTATCAGAGAGAGCAGACGCGTTGCGCGTGGCTGGTGAAGAAGTGTATAGTGCAGTAACGTCGTTCGAGTTCCTGTTATTGTTGTGGCTGTAACAAGTGAATTTTCATGATCTTTAGTAGCAAATTCTGCTGTGAGAGTGAGGATTTTCACTAATTTTTCTTCCGGGAAGCCATATTTGATGGCGAGATGTACTGGTAACAATCCGTTACTACGTTGGTGAGTCAATAATGCAGCGGGGTGGTGCAATAGCAAGAGATCCACAAGCCACAACCAGCCAATACCAACGTCAGTTAATTGTTGTTTCTGATGTTCAAAGCCATCCATAGCGAGATGTAAGGGTAAATCACCGTGTTTCGTAGCTGTAGTACACAATTTATCAGCGTTGAAATGCTTTAAAAACAATAACACTGTAGTTCTCGAATGTGACGGCGTAAACCCACGTTCTGGTTGTCGTTGTTGGGTGATACAAGCGTGAAAAGCAGACTCGCCACGGTCGTTGAACAATGTTACTACTTTCTTACTTTGGTTACAAGCTGATAAAGCCCATTGTAACACGCCAATTGATGTACGATGGAGGATGGCTACATGCAGTGGGGTATCTCCACACACCGTTTGACGCTCCCATATCGAAATCTTCCTTTGAGTTTTCAATTTCTTTGGTGGCTCTCGAGCTAGAATTCTCAGTAAATCTACACTTAAGTGTTCACGGAAGCCTATATGTAGAGGTGTCATTCCGAAGGCATCGGCTTCCATAAGAGCTTCGGGGTATCCCTCGACCATCGCACGTACAACTGGAGCAGAGAAGTGACAGCGGACAGCATAGTGAAGCGGTAAGTTTGCTGCTGCGTCGCCCCCACGTTGCGTCAGTTGTCGACGACGACGTCGAGCAATGAGTTCCACCAGAACCAGATCAGGCTTTGGAGAGCGCAAATGTGTCCAAATGTTACCAAGCATACGCTGTTGTACCACCGAAGTTACGTCGTACATGTAGAACGCACTTGGTGCCAACAATGGACGGTGTTCGAGCCTTTGTGATAGTAACGGTAAACATATTTGATCATAGAAATTCTTCTTCGCACGACGTTCTGTTAACCGCTTGTCGAATTGATACCTTTCGGTCTTAGAAGAGCAATCGTCACGTTCCAAAGGAGCGATTGAAGACGTGGTAACAGAAAATAGCGGTCGCGAGAGAACAATGTTACCTGTGTAGGTATCTGTGAAGTAGAACAGCTTCGAGTTTGGATCGATATGCTTCTGGAAGCGTTCACTGACGAGATTAAACACATATTTTCGAGCCAAATGACCTCTTAATAGTGCTTGAACTCGCTGTGCAGCATCAGGTTTTAGAGGTGGATCCATACGTATTGCAATGTCGGATATAATCATTGTTACACAATCCACAACTTCGGGTTCAATCCACGTAACATCCAATCGTTTCGCACCATACACACGCTTCTTTGTCGGGATAAACGCATGCAGCTCTCGCCATTTCTTAAGCTTCTCCACTTCATCATGAACAGCTTGATGCTCGATACGTTTCTCCATAAAATCATCTCTCCAGTCACTCAAATAGCCACGCAAATCTGTGAGTGTAACTTTCAGCGCTCGGTCTTTTACCATTTCTAAACTCACAGCTAGTGAAGCCATAGCGTCACTTTTACTTAACGGTGGTGTATCAGGTTCTACAGTTGGTTTAGAAACAGCATCACGACGTGTTTGATGCAACGTCGCCGCATTTGCAGCAGGACGGCGATGCTCGAAAGCCTTCCAGAAGGCGAGAAATTCTTCAAAATTAATGCGCCCATCTCCACTCGAGTCCATGACCGTCATCATGCGACTCACTTGTGCTGTATCCATCTCATGGCCAAGAGCTTTGATGAGTTGCAGCAACTCCTTCTCATCCAAAGCTCCGGAGTTATCCGAGTCAAATGTTTTAAACAATATAGAAATCTTTTTGACACGTTGCTGCTCTGCTTCGTGTTCGGTAATGGCTGCAGCTTGGTCGTTCATGACATTTAATGTGCGCATTTGTTTACGACGTCGACGTTGTTTCTCTCGAGCAGCAGCTTGTGCTTCGTGTTGTGCACGGAGCTTCGCTTGGGCTCGTTGTTTGGCTCGTTGCAGCTCCAGCTTCTCTCGCTCCGTAGTTTCGAACTTATCATACCAGTTAAGAAAGTTTTCAAGAGACACTAGCTGGTCCATGGGATTTGTTACTAACTCGTTCAAGGCGCGACGATATACCAAACCGCGCAGTGGGAACTCGCCTAACAGAGCTACAAGACGTGGTAGCAAGTTCGACTCGAAACATTTTGTACCATCATCATCTTTTGCAGGGACTAACACTAATCCGTCTGAATTCTCGAGAAATTCATGGCAAATTTCACGACGACGCCGGTCGCGAGTGATAATTTCGCTTTCGGTCGTCTCCTTAGCTTCAATTTGTAACTTTGTTTTCCACCAAAACTGGAACTCGTCCAATGTTACAGATCCGTCGCCACTAGCGTCCAGAACACTAAACACTTGTCGTATCTGCGCGTCACTCATGGATACATTTCCACGACCCAAAAGCACTCGATAAAAGAGTTGAAACTCATCCAGAGTCATCTCCCCACTCTCGTCTGCATCATATTGACGGAAAACACGCGCAATCTGCTCGTCAGCCGATAGATTTTGTCCTCCAAGTTTTAATAGCATGGTAGCCATTTGAGTCTGTAGTTGAGGTGGATCCCATTGCGTTATACCATCCACCTCATGGTAATAGTAGGTCTGGCCTTCCGAGTCCACGACCTCCTCCCAACCTCCCATATCCACTTTCTTCGTGCAAAAATGTAGCCACGAACGCACGATATCTTCATCTATTGACATGGGTACATCATCTTCTGCTGTCGATACGCCGAATCGATTCTGAAGGGTATTCATTATTGCGATAACGTGTTGTTTTCGACTCATCGGGTGCTCCAACTGCGTAAATACTCGCCAACATGTTTCTCTATTCCACCCCTGCTTAGTATTTTGTGTTTCTTGCCTTTGAATCTCGAGAAATAGAGCGATTTTTTGGGTCCAATCCATCTTGCTACTAGGAAAAAGATGGTTAAGGCGATCGGCCACACGATGTTCCATAGCTGGATGACTCCATCGCTCCTGGAACGTCGTTGTGTGACGATAGACAACTGGTGTTGCACGTTGGTTAAGAACCTCGATTCGTTCCCAAGAAGAATATTTTACTTCGCCTAGTTTAGCACGGCGTTGATAAGGTGCGTTCATGACCCAATAATACTTGAATGCTTCCCAGGAAACTATAGGTTGATCAGCAACACGAGAGCTATACGGGTCTACTTGTTGCATCAGAGCTAGAAGCCCATCACAACCGCTAAGTGACTGCCCGACGTGTACACACAAGTCTTCGAACTCTGCGGGGTCTAGATAGCCACATTTATCTTCGTCATATTTGACGAATAATTCACGGAGCTGTTGTAACATTTCGTGAGTATCATCGTTGTTCTCAGTAAGAAATTCTGGGATTCCATCACGGGATGTTTGTTGTTCTTGGTGATTTTTTTCTTGTGTCTCCAAGTGATTCCACAGACAGTTTATAAAGTTTGGGAGGTCCCAAAGACTCTCACCTGTGACGGTATTGTTGTAACATTTTGTGGGTTTATTACCAAGAGCCGCATCAATCTCAGATACTTCTTGAACCACTTCCTCCCACGCTGGAGATGCCACGGGAACGAGACGTGGCGCTGCAGCACGCGCCTCTGCGTGAATTTCGTTGAGTAACCACGTCACAAAGTCATGTCGTAAGATACTCATAGAGTTTGTCGTATCAAGCTCCTGCATCAAGCGGAATTGTTCGTGTTCATCGCGTAGCGGGCGACCAATGTTACGACAAAGTGTCGGTAGCTCACCAAGTTTCACACTTTCACCTTGAGCATTGGGTGCCAACTCCAAGAAAATCCGATACACGTCAGCGTCCACTCTCCAGTATTCGGAAGGATCATACCCAGCAGTTTGCGGTGTATATCCGTCGTAGCCTGTGTTAGGAGACCAAGAATCGCCTTCCCAACCTTGCTCGGCCATGACAGTGCTTCAAACTCCCACAACTATTAATAGTGAGGAGTCGCGATCTTTATTTTCTGCAAATATTTCCAAACTTGAGAATTTATACAAACCGAAGACTGGATATCCTAACTAAGAAATCAAACAGGAGAAAGGTGCCGGTATTTACATCTCCTAAGTTGTGTACAAAATGCCCGCGGTCTTGAAGTCCGTCTTGCTCAGTGTCTGTTTAACATAAGGCAGCACCTTGACAATAGCACTGAAGTCCGGTCGCCGTGTCGGGTCCTGATTCCAGCAGTGCTCGATTAACTCGGCGATTTTGGGTACCGTGGTGCTTGGCAGCGCTGGCCGCATCTGATGCTCGGCCACGGCCATCGCAGCTATAAAACAATAATAAAAAGTTATCTCTTTGCCATAAAACAACAAAAATCAATACCAAACGCGTACTCTGCATTGGTGTCTGCCCCCTGAATGGAATATCCTTGGCCAACAGCTCCCACATGACCACAGCGAAGCTATACACGTCGGCTTTACTAGAGTAAGGTTCGTGTCGAATAACCTCAGGGGCCATCCACCCGTACGTGCCTGTCTCGGCAGTCCGGTCGGCAGACCGACCCACTTCCATGACACAACTGAGACCAAAGTCCGAGATTGTAGCCGATCCCTGGGCGTCTAGCAGCACGTTGCTGCTCTTTAGATCTCGATGCATGATCGAGTGTTCGTGTAGATAACTCATGCCTTGGGCCATGTCGTTGGCCAGCCGGAAGAAGTCAAGCGGTGGCTTAGACTTGGCCCGGACTAAGGAAGCCAGTGTGCCTCCTTCCATGAACTCGAACACGAGGCAGTAGCGTGGAGGCGCACAGGCCGAGCCCAGGAATTGCACGATATTTGGGTGTCGAAGCGCGCTGGCCACTTCTTCTTCGCGACGCAATTCTTTGAGAAGTTCATTGGCCAAACTCTTTTGGCTGGTGGCCGACAGGTCCACCACCTTGGCCGCGACGTGTCGCCCATTCCAGTGTGCGCTAAAGGTGCTGCGGAACCAACGGCCTTACCAAGTTTTAATTGAGAGAAGTCCAATGTGCCCCAAGAGGAAGAAGAGGACGACGTCCTGCTCTTCTTGCGTCCGAACAGCGGCATTTTGCGGTAAAAACCACTAACAAATGCGGGGCTGCAAATGGTTGATTGGGAAGTGGAGATATTATATACTGTAAGAAAACCTTTTAGCGAGAAGTGTTTTTGGGCGATAATTGGTGTGAATTGCAATATACCGGTGAAATTGAATCCATAATCAGGGACTAGCACTGAACTTCGGTGTACATGTACCGGTATTATATCACTTACAGGCATCCGCTCCTGCAATGTACTCCATAATGGAGAAGTCTAGAGCACCAGAAAATCCACACTACAGAAATAGCATATTCGGTTTGGTTCTGTATGATTTCGGTATTTTTCAAAATATTCGGATCAACAGATCCCCAGCTGCTATCACGCAGTTGCGCAGGAAAAAAAATAACTTCGTCAGCAAAATTAGGACATTCAATTTTTTGAAAGTCTGTGAGGCCGTTTGGACCGCTCATTCGAAGATTTTCCCGCTCCCAGACAACCCACTCAAATCGATGGTAAGCCGTGATGTATGGCTCCTTGCAGTGCTCTTAACTGTCTAACGTGCTGTTGTGTAATGCACAGCCACCTGAAGAAGAGCTTCCTCCTTATCTTGGCCACAGCAAGCAGCGCAAGACCCCTTCCCGGGATCCCGTCGTGCTGTCGCGCCAGCAGCAAGCGGAAGCAAACCGCGTGAAGATTCGGTCCGCCAGTCGCGCTGCGCAAGAAGACGTTGAGCCACCAGCGAGACGACTGCCCCCTCTCGCTCAAGTTGTAAGACACGGCGGGAAGAAAATGACGCCGCGCCAGGAGCGTGTGCTACGCGCGAGGTACGGTGATCGCTTTCCAAATCAACGCAAGACGAACTCACCGCTTGCAGCCCCGGGCGAAGAATTCAGATGGGAAGCGGAGGTTCTGAAGACATTGCAAGCCGATGAAAGCACGCATTCGGACAGCGAGGAGATAACGGACATGGATGATTTGGGCGCAAGTTTGGATGGTGCTGGAAATAACGATGCGCTGGCGGAGGTGCTCGACCAGCTGGATGAGGAAGATGAGCTTGCCTCGGATGGTGACAGTAATGACGGCGACTACGAAGAAGATGGTGCGCTGGAAGACGTGTCCAGTGAAAGCGCAGAGTCCAGTGTAAATCACGAGGAGGAAAGACATACAGAATTTAATACACAAGATGAACCAAAAACACACAAGATGACATCGCATCTATGTTTGGAGGGCAATTTTTCTAATTCGGAGGATATGCCGGTTGCTGGATCTTTCCTGGAAGGTTTTCCCGTCTTTTGGAGCTCGTGGGATAAATTTTACGAGGTGTTTGCAGAGTTCCAGGAGGCTACATTCCAGCTTTTTTCCTGCCGTACGAGCACATCAGTCGCTGCAAGAAACCGGAAGATTTCTGCCGAGCAGAAAAAGGCGAAGAAGAAAGACCCTAAAAAGACGAAGGGAAGGCGAGCGACTGGCGGCACACTGCTTCCTGATGATTGGGAATTGTATAGCAGAACATACCTGTGTACGCATGGAATGCCGTTCGACAGCAAGGGCACTGGTCAACGCGAGCACACTACTGTGCGTTCAACAGGCTGTACGGCGTGTGTGAATGCTCGTGTGCGACTTAGACCTGGTGGAAAAGGATTTTATTTGGTGGTGAAAGCAACTGGCATCCACAATCACAACTTGACACACCACCAGTGGTTTAACTACGCTGAGAACCGACGTATTGATAGCCCGCAACTTCGCGAAGACGTCTCTGTGATGGCCAAGGCTGGTGCAAAACCAAGAGGTATACTAGAGTATCTTCGTTCCAAGACAGGTACCGTATTCGTTTTGTAAATCTTTGGTGTATATTTTGTTGAACTAATTCTGATTTGGCTGTCTAGGCAAGCGCACAACTTTAAAAGACGTACATAACATGACTCAGACAGCGAAGCAGGTGTTCCGCGGTGGAAAAAGTGATGCAGAGTGCGCGCTGTCGGTTCTGGATGAATTCATTGAAGGCGCCCCAGGAAATACGGCTGAATTCATAGTGGACAGCGAGAGTAACGTGGCTCGAGTCGTGACGTTTCAGTCTGCAAGGCAAAAGCGGTTGTTTGCAGCGTTTCCCGAAGTTGTTCTTGTTGATGCGACGCATGGAACCAACGCAAACCGCTACAAACTCTTTAGTTTCGCAGTTCATGATGTGTTCGGGAAGGTAATAACTGAGTGAAGAGTACTACCAAAAAAAAGAAGTAACTCATATTCTGTTTTGTGTGTTGGTAGGGCCAGTATGTGCAGCATGCGCTGGTACTGACGGAAGAGAAACCAAATTTAGCTCTAGCTGTGAGCGTTTTCAAGAAAAACAATCCGGATTGGCCCAAGATCAGAGTAATAATGATGGACAAGGCTCTCCACGAAAAGGAAGTGCTAAATGAGGGGTGGCCTAATGCAACGCAGTTGCTATGTCGCTGGCACGTGGAAACTTGGTTGAAGAAGCAGTGCTCTCGTTTGGGTGGAGTTGGCAGACTGGAGACTAAGCAGTTGAAGGTGATCATGAAAGGACTGGTAAACGCGGAATCTCAACAGGAATACGATGACTTTAAGGACGCGCTTCTGGAGACGGTCGGCAAAGATGAAGAAAATCTGCTGTACAAAAGTTTCATGAAACACTGGGACACGACTACCGACGAATGGGTGATGTACAAGCGTGGCGGTGTGCCGCACTTGAAGAACAATACTAACAACCGGTTGGAGTCGAAGTGGGGACGAGTAAAGGAGATTGTGGATGGCAATTTCACGATTGACGAGCTGGTCTCCATGTTGATTACGATGCAAAATTATGCGGAGGAACGGTATTTAGCTGAGTTCCATCGCGTTGGCAGCCGGCCTCCAATGTCCGAAGACCCGGAGCTGACGGCTTTAGCAATGCAGCTGAGCAACTATGCATTTAAGATGGTGGAAGAGCAGCACAAATTGGCCTTGGGTTTGAATGCGTCCTACGACATTGAAGTGGACGGTATGAGGACGACGCTGACAAATCCTGCAACAGGTAAAACATACCAAGTTAATGCGGGGGTGCGTGTATTGTGTATTTTCGGTTTATGGTATTATGTTTTGTTTGGAATTTGACACTTGTTTTCTGTTGTAGCTCTGTACGTGTGACTGTATCTTCAGGCAGACGTGTCTTCTACCATGCAGACCCATCATGTTCCTTCGCAGTAAAGCAAACTACGAGACAGTGGTTCCGCCGATGAGGACTTTTTCGTCAAGGTGGATCGTACAGAGTCCAGCTAACAACATTGAAACAGGAGACGTCTCTGCTGGTGGCCTCACCCGGGTGAACTGCCAACCCATCCGAGCTCTACCGGCAATTGACCGAGATACCAAGTACAGCCGCAGCAAGCAGCTCTCTGAGAAAATCATCGACGTGATGTCTCTACAGCCGTCCACAACCTTTCGACTAGCGATGAAGTGGCTCGAGGGCTTTCATACTGCTCTACACACCGGTCAACTAGAAGACTTCGTGGGTATTGAGCCAGAAGCAACACCCAGCGTTTTCCCTAACCTGTCGCAAGTTTCCGTCGCCAACAGCGTCACTATTTCTCAACTGTCTTTTGGAAAACCGAGCGGGAACAAGATACTTGACGAAGACCAGCTCATTACGAATAATGCTGGCAGCGCCGCCGCCCCGATTGTGCTTGGCTCCCCACCGAAACGGAGAGGATTATCGAAGCGAGCTGAGAAGAAAGAAGTGTCGAAGAAGGAGCTGAAAGAAGCGAAGCGCATCCAGACGTGCATCAGGGAAGGAAAGAAGGCGTGCGCGGTGAAGCTGTGCCACATGGAGATCCTCAGCGGGCCTTATAGCAGCAGCACAACAAGACCTCTTCTGGACAGACTGGAGCTACCACGTGTGGAAGTGGTGGGCCTATTGGTGGTGCGCAAGTACAACGTCGGCCAACCGGTCCCTGCCATTAAGGCAATTCCTCAAGGTGAGAAGATCCGAGAGGCCATCCAAGCAATTGATGACAAAGGCGATCAAGACTTACTTGCGCGTTGGGATGAATACGGATGTGCAACCTACGGGCAGTTGAAGCTGATGGATTTGGTAGTGCAAGCCCAGAACAACTTCAAGATGGTGACGGCAACTATGGAGTGGATCGACAAAGTGGAGTTTCAAGTGGATTCCATTGTGGAACCATTTAAAGACTCAGTGGACATCACGAAGGTAACCAGACTCAAAAACCAAAGTTACACAGAACCTGTACAAAAACTGACACAAAATGAATATTGTTACGATGTTTGGACCGGCGGACCACAAAAAAGCCGTTGAGGACCTGAATTTGGGGAGGTGGTACGTTGGAAAACACGCCCAGTTTGGCAGTGAGTTCCTCGATTTTCGAGAAAATGTGTGGTTGCACTCTGGATCAATTATTGGGTCGTTGTTGATGATGCGATCGACTTATGAAGATGTCGGCATCGTCAACCCCCGCTTCCTAGACTTTGCTATGTCGGAGCAGAGGGAGCGGATCGCTCGCTCGTATGGTGCTGCTGATCCAGGGGTCAAGAAACTTATTAGTGCGGTCAATCTCGGATATCATTGGGGTGCTTTTTACGTTGATGTGGAGAGAAAGCAATGCTTCCTGTTCGACCCAATGCAGTTGAAGAGCAACATCTCGTCGCTCAGAACGGCGGTGTGCACTGTCGTAGAGCCAATGCTGAAGATGACGGACCAGATCCAGTACGAAACTATCACTGGCTGTGAGCAGCAGGATAGCTCGTCCTGCGGCCTCTGGTGCTTGGTCGTGCTAGAGCTACTGCTCTTTGGAGCAACTCACGATAAGTGGAGCAACTATTGGAGCGACTCGTTGTACGAAGCAGTCGGCTATTTGCGTATGCGGTACTTGCACAAGGTGATCAAGTTGCAGAGCCACTTTCCAGTTGAAGACGAACCGGAAGAAGAGAAGTAAGTGCAGACATTAGTTACTGGTAACTTCAACACGAATTGATTTTGGTATCACTTTGAAGCCAAACAGAACCAAACTAAAATTATACAGAACCCGTGGGACTTAGAGTTTTTTGGCGAGGTGTTGCTGCTCCAGGGAAGCCGAGTCAAGTCTATATTTAGAAAAACGGCTGTGCGTTCAATTTTTCATACTCAGCGCCATATTATTGTATAGGACACATAAGCAAACGACGAGATTTGATTCGCTAGAAACTATGTCGATTATAAAAGACGACATGTACACTATAAACGACATCACACTTACGCACTTACCGAGCACTTACCGCGTAAATTACTGCCACTTCGTCATTTTATTTGAAAGCCCATTCTCTGTTGCACACAGAAAAAATATGTTACCCATCACGCGTGTGTGAGAGACCTTACTTTCGTCTATTTATTTTCTGTTGGACTAGCACGATCCCTCCATAATGGAGTCCATTGCCCATTTGACATGCAAATACCTCGAATTGGATAGAAAAGATTCGCTGACTTCTAAAGCTATCAGTTCACAATTTGGTCCAGCGCAGTGTTGGCATGTTATCCACATCGGAGTTCGAGTGTCTCGAAACGGTTTGGAGAGACACGGGGCGCCTCCTCACCCTTAAAGTGAGGAGCTTGCAGGGCTTTATTTTCATTTCGGACAGCGCGGTCCCAAGTCCGAGAGAGTAGAAGCAACAAAACTAATCAGTTAGTTGGAGCTGACCACGGTGCTCAACACCCCCACAGCTTACAGATGCAGCAGGAGTATCTTTATATGGAGATTGAGTGCACCAAGCAAGGCATGGTGAACTTGAGGATGTCCCGGTGATTTATGTAGTCAGTGGCATTGATTGACTCAGTGGCTTCACAACGATGCCCAATGTACCTTACGTGTCTTGGCGACTCGTAGACTGCGCTTGTCACTGGCAAGTAGCCACGCGTGTTGACTCTTATTGGGCTCTCCGTTTGACGAAGTGCATGCTCCATACCAGCGGGGAGATGGCAAGGAGCTGTTGAGTTGTCGAGTCACTGTGATTCACAGTGACGCAGCGGGGAGATGGCAAGGAGCTGTGGCTAGGGGTTAATGGCAGCTCCAAAATTGGTGAAGTACTGTGATGTGTAATTGTAGACCAGTTAATATAAAAAATATCACCAATATTTTCTTTTAAAAACAAAATGTTATTATTAATTATCATCACCGGTGTCCGGACGATGTAACAGTCTAATCAACTAACTTATCACACAAGACCAAGGTAAACTAAGCGGTTATTTTGTCAGAGGTCTTCTGAGTGCTGGTTGGTCAAAATTGACGGAAACGGATGGGCTGGAGACAAACTTCTAATAGCACGACAAACGCCATGGAAGAGGAAGCCCGAATGCGTGTCCCCTTAAAGGAGTCCGTTCAGAGAATCTACGAAAAAGCAATCTCTATTTAACCGAAGAACACTCAGAGGGCCTATATCAAGCGCCAGCAGAAGTTTCGAGACTGGTGCTTGGCGAAGGGGACAGCTTTTAGTGACCTAACGCGGTACACAGTTACTGGAGAAAAGCTTCATATTTTCTTGAAAAAAAAAGTCATCGGGAGAGCCAAACGTCGCAAGGGAAGCAACAAACACAGTGATAGAGCCGAAATTATCGGGAGATCGACGGTAAAGTGTTACGACATTAGGCCTGACGAGTGATGACGAAGCTCAAACAGAATCTCATCCATCTCGAATGCAGCAAAAATGTTCTCGATCAACACCGTCGCCTCGTACGACGAGGCGCTGGAATTGCTAGACCAAGCGTTTGATCGAGCGAAGGTGGCGTTGGCAGCTTCTGTGGCGGGTGCGCCCATGTCTACGGCGGTCCTGAAATGCTCTATCTTGATGGAGATGAAGGTGGTGGGGCTGTTGAGACAGATCGGCTACGAGACCTTGTTGGCTACGGGCGACAGTGGAGTTGCGGCTAATGGGAAGAAAAGCAAGAGCACGACGGAGGACAAGGCGCCGGTGAATGGCGGAGACGCGGAGTGAACAATGGCGCAAATGATGGAAATGTCCCACGACCCCGTGACGAGACGGCAACACGTCCATGTACGAGCGCTCGATGACCTCGAAGTGAACGGCTGCTTCGACATGTTGACGCGAGCGCCACTGACCAAGTCGCAACTTCACCCGAACCGAGCACTGAAGCAACTCATAAAGACTCTGCAAAGAGACCATCGGCTCGGACGTAAGGATATAAGTGAATCAGCTCGTGGAGCTGATATCATTGTGGAGCTGTGAGAAGTTGAAATTGTGCCAGCTACACCACGTCCTGTAAAGTGAATACAAGAATGAAAAAGAAATTGAAGTTGATGATTAAGATACTGTGGAGTTGACTGTAGCGAAAACAGTGGATATCGCATGTAGAAAGAAGGGAAGGTCCTGCGTGGTCGCTGTGTTAGTAACCATGTTCGTTGTACGCCGCTGCAGGCTTCTTGGCGCGGCGGATCTGGCTGGCTACATCGTGACATCGCGCTAGCGCCTTAATCTCCTCTCCTACAAACTTGCTTGGCTCCGAGCTTCAGAGATGTTGGATCTCCGCGCTCAGAGCAGCAAGAATGTAGTCGCCATCATTATGTTGGATTGTTGAAGTCGCAATAGAGGGCGAAGCCATGAACGGGGTGGAGCATGCGGCATGATGCGAACTATATGGCTGGGGGACGTCAAAAAGTCCTGGAGCGAGTACTGGGGTATTGTTGCGTGAGGAGCGTACTGCTGCTGGAGAGCCGAAGTGTGACTATTGTGGTGGAGTGCTGTAACGTGGGCAATGTACTGCAACTCTGGAGCATGAGGCTCGTGCCGGAGTGCTGAAGCGGGAGGTTGACGCGGGCCGGGAGTTATGTCATTTTGCTGGGGAGCCGGAGCACGGTGTGGATGCTGATGCACCGGGGCGCTTTGCGGGTGAAGCGGAGCGAGTTGCGGAGCTGGGATTGCAGTACCCTGAGCAGCCTCCGGCTCCTCAGATGGCTTCGTCGCTGCACCTTCCAGCTTGAGCCGCTTCACGGCCTTGTGATAGGCGTATCTGGATATTCCGATCAGCTCCATTATCTCGCCTCGCTTCTTGCCTTTCGCCAGCAATCCCGCGATCTCCCCGACGGTGACGGGATGAATGGGTCGCTTCAAGGCTGTTCCACGTAAAAAGATTAAGTCAGTTCAATGTTGATGTTTACTGTGTCTAAGGTCACCTTGTTTCGAGTTTGACTTCGATTGTGGTTGTCCTGTGAGCGAAAACTCTGTCGTTGAGGGCTGCGAAGGTCGAGGCTGTTCTGTTGGCGTACAGCGAGTTTTTTTTTAACACTTTGTAGATTGTGCAGAGAGAGCGCGTGGTTTTGCCGCAGATCTCAAGAGGGTTCTTACCTTGGTTGTCCATTAGCTCGATTGAGGCGACCTCCTCCGAGGACAACCAAGGCCCCTTCGCCATCTTGGTTGATGCGGCAAGCTGCAAAAAAGAAATCTGTTGCCCGATTACCTTCTCACCTGCAACGTCGTTAATGTAGTCATTGTAGCAAGCGTACACATGGATACGGTGGGAATTAAAAATTACTTGTAATTCGTCATTAGTCCTTAAGCACTAGCACTAAGCTACTGGCGAGGGTACCTGTCGATTAGCGTAGCTGCGCGCTGCCCTCTCGCGTCCATTAGCCCTTTCTCGCTCCACTCTGACAAGTCGGGCCACTGCCACCCTGTTTTGGCGCAGTGCATGTCGAGCACGGAGAATCTTGAGGACGGCTGCATCCCACGCCACCCTCCGACGCTCGACCGTGGCGTTCTTGCAATACTCAAACACGCGGAAGAAGGCGTCCGACCCGGGATCGAGTCGCACGAACTCTCGGCGCTCAGTAAAAACCGTCCTGTCTCTGATGTACAGAACGCCAGTTGCATCGAGCCAATCTTGGTCCTCGACTGCTGCGTGCAAAACTTCATCGTTCTCTTGTTCTTGATCATTTCCAACCTCGCCTGGCTTCACTTGTCCTATGCCTTCGTCCTCCGCTGCCTCCCTGAGGTGCACGTCCGACGTCTGCTGATGTCCTCCAGCATGATAGGAAAGCCTAAGCATTGCATCTGTTAGCTCATTACGTACGATGTGTTCTATTTAAAGCAGCTTGCTTAGGCTTTCCGGAAGACCTCCATGAATCATTGCAATGAGTTTAAACTGCATTGAGTTGACGCAGAATCCCGACCCCTTCAGCTCTGACTTGAGCCCCGTAAATCTTAAATAGGCTTTCTGGCTACAGAGTACCGAACAGATTAAATAAACGCAAACTTATCTCAATTTAAAAGCCCACATCACATCACGTACGTTGTGACTCCATACTTGCCAAGGTGGACCCCTTCCCACAATCGGATCTGCAATTCTGGTACCTTCATATGTCTACCCAAAGCCGTAAGCCGCAGATTTCCTTCGAGATGAGAGCCCTCCGCTAAAGTGCCAAGGTTGGCACCGTAGATAATGCACTTGCGCATGAACGGCTCCGCGGAGTGGACGCCGCTGAGAGCGTGGTCCATTCGCTCGCATCTGATGGTCGACATCGACTGGCGGCGCTCTGTAGCGGTCGCGTAGATCCTAGCAAGCCTACGAGCTAGTCGAACCTCACTGGCTGAATATTGATCCATTTTGCTCACCTTCTTCATGTGCTAATTGAGAAATGAAGTAAGGGCGGGTGCGGTTTTTGTTGGCGCCAAAATTTTGGCGCCATCGTCTGCGATTGGTGAAAGTCAAAGTCTGACTGACGAGAGCTTGTGTACCGGGGTACATAGCCCTAAGTGTACCTGTAACGGGGTACGTATCCCTAAGTGTACCATATTTACATGAAGGGTGACACGTCACAAGAAAATACCACTCCTGTGCTCTCTAAGCCTACGAAGGGGCCTGTGGACGAGGAGGGACACTTATGCGGAGAACAGGTCTGTTAATAGTTGTGCTGATATTGTGGCAGCTCAATTAAAGTCCAACCTGATAACTATGTTTAAATCACAAAATGCATTTGAGTACATCAAATAGCCCTATTTCTAAATTTAGGTACCTCGAGCTCCCAAAACTCGAGCTCCATTGTTTTTCCCAGAGTGACGGCAAGGTTGGCGTCGTGTGTTGGTTCTGCTGAGCGCATAATCCACCCCTGGGACGAGCCAGATGGGTTCAGTCCAAAATTTTAATCGCTAACCGCTCGTAGCTCGTTATGAACCTGGTACCCTGTATTTTACTGTTCTTGCCCGTATTTAGCGTCGGTAACGAGCCGGTTTCAAAGTTTTAGCTATAGGTAACAGGAACCGCAACTGGTGCAGATGGCAAGGCTCTCGAATCTGAAGGATTTCATTAATTGTTTCGCGGTGAGTTTTAGCAACTTTTTTGGGCTGAGTTGGGTGCTAAAAGAAGAGTTGCTTCCAGCTATTCCAGGTTTTGCGACCTTCCACAGACGCTCATGGAGACTGAGCGGAGAAGACGTCGTGACAATTCCTGATGCTGGCGCGAAGGTCCTACCGGCGAGACCAAGCAATACTTCCTTTGTGTACGACTGGGGCGTGCGCGTGATCAGCACGTCCAAGGCGAGTGCTACCGCTGTCTGGATGTGCTTGGCGAGCGAGACCTGCCGCACACAGCGTGCAAAGATGTTGATGTCCAGCGGACAAACGTCGAAAGCGACTCATAACTTCAGCAAGGCGCATGGTATCGGCTCTGACAAGACCGCCAGCGAGGTGGGGAGGCTGACCTTCTGCTCAATGTGCTGGCGAGAAGCGTCCATGCCCCGCTCCATGAGTTGACGTAGCGCTGCCTGAACGGCCATCCTCGGCTAAAGCACGAGCTTGTTCCTGAGCCCCGTGTTGTAGCTGCTGGAGGACATCCGCGACGCGCTGCTCTGTAAATCGCTGCTGCTCTTCTTCAAGAAGCAGCTGTCGCTGCTGGAGCTTAGCTTAATGCTCAGCGATGCTGTTCACCTGTGCCGACACATGAGCGAGCGCCATCCTCAGCTTTTCGCCGTCGATGTGGTAGTGCTCCGGCAGCTCGATGATCGGCAGGTCATCCAATGTGATGAAGCACTACGGTGTTGAAGATACGGCGTCGTTCAAAATGCTGAAAGTGTGGGTCTAAATCAAAGGTTGCCATAATTTTTTTAACAATTAAAATTGAATATGTTAGCCAATGAGAGGCAAAGAATTCCGAAACGAATGAGGTTTTCGCCCAAGTTTGCAGCGGATCTTGGCTAATCGGCTCCTGCATGCGCTTTGCATTGACGAACCGACGCGGTTTTGGCACCGGCTCATCGGGATCCGATGGCGTAGCATCATGACCAGACTCATCTGGACGAGATGCGGCTACGGTCGGCTAGAAATGGATGTGTCTATCTGGATCGGAGCTCAGCCGCAGCGGATCTGGTTCATTGATTTTTGAGAAGAATCGGGCTCCCTACCTTGTTCTGGATCGTAAGAGATAGTAGATCCGTGGTTGGGGTTCGGTTCGTCCCAAGGGTGCATTAATCTAGCGCTACAGGCTATAGGTTTATTAGACGCACGATGTGGACGAGGCTATTGGTAGAAAGCAAGAAACTATCGACATTAAACAAGTGCAAGCGTTCGCAATTTTCCATCTCGATCGCCTTTGTCTGTGTCACAGAGAAATACTAGAGCAAATACTCGTCAAGCTGAAAGCCTACTGCTGTTCAAGAACCTGACTGAAAGAGTTCTTTTGTGAGCCCTCGGTTCACTGGTAAGGTGGCAAGAAACGTACTTAAGTGGGAAATATAATAAGAAATCATCTAGTATCAATATTTTTCAAATGTCCGAGTTAATATTAAAATATTATGCTAGCTTTTGAAAATCTAAGCTATTTAAAATCAAAAATAGTACTACATGTATTACTATTCAAAATATCATATGATATTTGGCTACCATTAGCCCCGACCGATGTAATCACAGTGTGATTACACACCGGTCGCCGCAACTTTCCGTGCGTACATGATCAAGCCATGGTGGTGTGGAGCCGACTCGATTCGAGTCGCCGGTGCTGTTGGCAACACAGCCTGTTGCCAAGTTGCTCAGTCACTTGCACTGATTGTTGCAAGTCAATTTGACTGTCAAATCACCAATTATGATATTTTGCACGATGGGTGCCGCCTGGGTCGGAAATGGGCAACACTTCAACGACGATACCGGATAACCAAAACCGCAGAAGGATCCAAAGCAGCCATCATTCTCATTCTTCATTTTGCGCTCCAGCTCCCAGGTCTCCAATCTCCCTATACAATGACCATCAAGCTCTACGCCAACCTCATCAGCCAGCCCAGCCGCGCGGCCGAGTGGATTTTACGCATTAAGAAGCTGGACCACGAGTTCGTGGCCGCGGAATTCGGCGCTCCGATTTTCAAGTCGCCTGAGTTCCTGGCTCTCAACCCGAATGGCCTCATCCCGGTGTTGCAAGACGGCGACTTCTCGATCTTTGAGGGCAACGCTATCATGCAGTACTTGGCCGAGAAGAACGGCTGGACGGACCTCTACCCGGCCGACGCGCGGGCCCACGCCAAGGTGAACCAGTATCTGCACTGGCACCACACGAACGTGCGTCTCATCACGCCCAAGGTGCTCGTGCCGCTTATGCACACGAAGCAGCACTCGGCCACCCCGGAGGAAGCCATTATGATCAAGGAGACGCCGGCGCTTCTCACTAAGCTATCCGAGCTAATGGAGAAGTTCCTGGTCAAGGACTTTGTGGCTGAGACCGACCAGCCCACGATCGCCGACATCGCCGCCTACTGCGAGCTCGTGCAGGTGGAGTACATGGGCATCTATGATTTTTCCAAGCACCCCAAGCTCGCGGCTTGGCTCAAGCGTATGAAGTCGGTGCCCCACCACGATGAGATCCAGGCACCTTTGGACCAGTTCCTCACGAGCCTGGAGCTTAAGACCAAGGCCGCGGCTAACGCGTAAGATCCGAAAAGATACTCTCTGCTTCTGGTTTTCCTCTGAAACGTAATACATCCGATCGTTCGATTTTTGTGACATTTTGTTTGTGACATGAGTTCGTTAAGGGAAGCTTTAAAAACTACTAGTTGCATGATATTTGCAACTTCCAGTTGCCAAACGGCGTCAGAGTGACACTTTCCATTTTGAAGATGACGTTGAAGCTGTACGCGAACCTAGTGAGCCAACCCTGTCGTGCGGTGCAGTGGGTTATGCGACTGAAGCACCTGGAGCATGAGCTTGTACTGACCGAGTTTGGGAGTCGCACATTCACATCTGCTGAGTTCCTGGCACTGAACCCCAACGGACTGATCCCAGTGTTGCAAGATGGAGACTTTGCACTGTTCGAAAGCAGTGCCATACTGGTCTACTTGGCCGAGAAGTTCAAATGGACGGATCTTTACCCGAGAGACGTGCATGCCCATGCAAAGGTGAACCAGTATCTGCACTGGCACCACACGAACGCGCGTCAGATCACCATGACAGTGCTGGTCCCGTTGAAGCGGATCAAACAGAACAAGCAGCTTCCAGACGACATCGTGTTGGTAAAAGAAGCCCCGGCGCTCCTAGCCAAGCTGCTCAAGTTGATCGAGACATTCCTAGTCAAGGATTTTATTGCTGAGACAAACACTCCGACACTTGCGGACTTCGCCGCGTATTGCGAGTTTGTGCAAATCGAGCTCATGGGAATTTTCGAGTTGTCAGATTATCCGAAATTTTCGGCTTGGATGCAACGAATGAAAAAGTTGCCGATGCACGATGAAATTCACGCCACGCTCAACGAGTTTTTGGCTGATCTCGGTCTTAAGACAAAGGCGAAAGCCAAGGAGGAAGCCACTGCGGATCCGTAAGACAGAAAAGAGGAGATTCGGATTGACGCTAAAGATTATTAACAAGCTCACGGCTTCTAATCCGAAGAATGCTAGTTTACTAACGGCGTTTGGACACGCCCACACCATCGTTCTACCCGCTGCCGACGACAGATAGAACGGATAGACACTTACTTATATTTCCACCTCGGAATGGAGTTTCTCGTATAGAACTTCGAGTTCCTGAGCAATCTCCTTCTTCTCGTTCGGGTCGGATTCGGGTTGAGCCTCTAGCTCGTGTTGCTTGTTGGTCAGCTCTAAAATCCGCTGATACAGCTTCACGACGGTAGTCTTCGAGGTGTCTGCCCGGTCCTTGGCGGCCGACGCGCCGGCCTTGCCAGGATTAGCGTCACTGTCGCCCATAGTACTGTGCTCCTGGCCACTCGAGTCTAAGCTTAAACACATACTCTCTTCGGTAGGACGCAGGTCTTCAGGACGTAACAACGAGCCGAAGTTCATAGACAAGCCGTTAATAGAATCGTCACGGCCGGACGAATAGTCGAGTCGGTCTTCGTCGTCCGCGACGCTAACGGTTTGGCCCGAGTTCGTAGGGAACGTAGGCAGTTTAGAGAGCGAAGACTCACCGGTCGGAGCCCCGTGACCTTGTGAGTGTGCACTGCTGTGTGGACTACGGAAAAACGCCGGTAGTTCGGGACCACGGCGCTTCGCTGAGCCTTCCGAACTACCTGTTCGTCGACGATGAGGCTTGGTCAGCACGATCTCAGCCGCTTCTACTTCGAGATCGAGCGGTTCCTGGTTTCTGAACATGGCTTCTTGCTGTTCCCATTGTGCTACCTGTAGTAGCTCCAGTCGGGTCAGCGGACGGTCAGACGATAGCGACGGAGGAGGAGGACGCTCCGGTTCAGGTTCGGAGTCGCGCGCAGGCTTACTACGCCGTGTCCGCTCTTCCTGTACCACCCGTCGCGCGGCATTCCGCTCGTTCTTCGTCACGGGTCCGGGTTTGCCCATCTGTTTCGTATGTTGAGCCAATAAGCTGGAGGTTAGGAAGGATGGCGCTCCCGAACTGGCTCCGCTTGACTGACTGAACTGGCTGAATTCACTACTACTCAAAGACATGGACTCGAGTTCGTCACGGTAGTTATCCGGCTCCTCAATATTTTGTTCCTGACGTCGTCGCATCAACGCTTCCTGTTGTTGCTGTTGACGCTGCAGTAGACGTTGTTTGTTCTGGTGTTGTTGCAAGGCGCGCTGTTGACGCTGCAACGCTCGTCGCTGCTCCTCATCACGGTACTGAGGAGGCGAGACGCCGTACGTCTGGTGGTCGTACATGTCCGGGTTTCTCGGATCATATTTCCTATCATCTCGTCGTCTTCTACTCGATGGAGGATTGTCATCGTATTCGCCCGAATCATTCGTAAAGCGATCCGAATCCAGACTCACCTTGCCGTATTCGCCTGGCATTTCCATCGTCCGCGGATATTCCGGATCCGGATCCTGATAACTGTCACTTTGACTGTAACTTTCTTCGTAACTGTTATTGTACGGCCCTCGTCGACCCGAATGGTCTCGACGGCCACGTCCTTGGCTGTCGTACTCGTCGCTGTCACGACTAGGCTGGCCGCGACGACGCGACGTGGGAGACCCCGAGTTGCTCCTGTTGTAGCGCTCATACTGGTAGCCTGGCGCACGTACGCTCATTACCGGCGGCTCGTCATCGTGTGCACTGTTTGTCTCGGAGTACTGTTCGCTAGGCGGCAAGTCCTCGAACACGGACGGGTCTGTGTTCTGCGCGCACTTGAAGCACACACGCACCTTCCTAACGCCTTGGCCAGGGATCGCAACCTCCCATTCCGTACTACACGCAGACGCGCAAACTACTTCGCCGCACTTACGACAACGCGCTTTACGTGTAATAAGCCCAAATTTGGCTGAACAGAGGTTGCAACGTGTACGTTGGCTCTTTGGCACGAGTTCTAAGTCGCCCAGGAACCGCTGAGCGCCCAGTCGTCGACGCGTGATCATTTTCTGCAGATCTGCGATGCCGGACAGTCGCTTCTTCTGGATGGTCATGAACAGCGGCGTCGGCACCTTCATGCTGCCTTTCATGTTGACCTGTGCGCTGAAGATGACGTCCAGGAAGCCTGGACGTTCGCTCTCGACGAACACGTAGCCGGTGTGGTAGAAACTGCCTCGTACGAGGTTGTAGTCACTCAGTTCGGGGCAACACGGCAGTTTAATCGAGTGGTACGACCGAACCCAGCCGCGACGGCCACTCACGTCCATGAACGTGCTCTGACACTCAACCGTGAGGAAGTCGCGGTTCTTTAAGAGCTTCGACGGCATCTCCGAGGCGAACCATTTGATTGTCACCTGGTTGGCGTTAAGCATCTTGCTGGAGCCACTACGCTGGCCTCGGACGGTGTATTTAGGGTCATTTAGCAGCGACGGGTCCTCTATCACGTAGAGTAGCTGGGCGTCCAATACGTCGGCGTTACACTCGACAAACGCGGCGACTTTTGCGTCTGTCGATAGGTCGAAGAAGTCGGCCACCTCGTCCAGTGTGGACTGGATGGTGGTCGCGCCACAGCCGTACGAGATCGACTCACCTACTACGGCCTCTGGGTATCGGGCCTCGCCCTTGTACATCTGCACGCCACGGTGCATCCCTGCCTCCTCCCAGCGCACGGGTCCTTCATTGTTGCGTGTGGCGTCGACTAACGCTTTGGCCGAGTCCTTGGCTTTCCCCACGAGATACTGTTCCTCTCGCTCCGTGAGCTCCGGGCGCTTAAAGAAGCGCGGCGGCAGCGGCAGCGTCTTGGTCATGAGACTGCAATTGGATTATGCGGCGCGACGGCAGCCGCGAGGGGGAATGCGGGTTTGGGGAGTGGACTAGGAATGGACGACCTGTTCGCAGAATTTCTACCCGCGGACGTGTGTCGTCGCGATGCTCAAGAGAAGAGCCCAAAACTTGCAGCTGGCCAAGTTTCCTGGCCGCGACGTACAGTGCTGGATAATCAGAACGTCAGACTCGCAGTCTCACTGTGCGCCACTCTGGTCGAAGATCATCATACTGCACCGGTATCCGGAAAAGTGCAGGCGTATACGCTAGAATCGTAAGCATGGTTTTTATTTTAGCAAAAAAGCATGTTGACCAACGTTAGGACGATCTCACCCGCAGATATTACATGTACAGTGTACATGTTCCAATATACACGTAGCTAGCTACCGAACATGAGCACTATCCAAAACATAAAAACATGCACATGCACGTGGCTCATTTGCCCAGTTGCTCTTTAGGCTTTGTAGCTGTACGAGTTTTTATGCTGCGACTTGTGAGTTAAACGGCGGCTGTGGTATGCTCGCGACTCGGATAAGATGAAGTGTAGAGGATGGCTCGAGTAGCTTGGATTCATGGAGCTTGAGACTTGAGTCGAGTCAAGCTCCATGAATCCTCTGGCGGCAAAGGCAAATTTCGTAGATCCAAACTTTGGACGAAAGGGATGACCAAGAAGAGGAAGACACGATGCCACGAAACGTGCACCTGCGTTTTTTTTCCAATGGTTACTGTTTCATCCCGTACACTGTGGATTCAGTGCTCGTCCTTCGGTTCCACACCGACCATCGACTCGATAGGCACTCGATGATCGAGTGCCTCGAAGTGCGCCGTCGGACCACGTTGGAAGAGAACGACGCAGCGAATTAAGTTATTAATAATGCGTCAGCTTGACTTGCATCCGTGATCGCAGAATCGGATGGAGCGATCCCCGCCTCAATCTGTCGTTGTGCCGGACCAGTTGGCGACGCGCAGTCGAAAAGTGGCCAAGTTCTGCAACACCAGAACTTCTGGCAGAAGGACAACGCGTTCGATCTGGAGATCTGGAAACAGGTCTTGCGCGCAAATCCGACCACGTCGCATCAGATTCTAAATTTGAGGATGAACTGCGGCCCCACACAAAAATCGCCACGCCGAAGATGAATCATCTGTACCAATAAACAGAAATTGGTAGACCGTCACAGTTGGCATCGGTGACTCCTCGCCGCCGTTGCGCGGCGCCACTGGGAGCACGCGGCCTTGCTGCAGCCATAAACAAACAAGAACCTGCATGGGTCGGCGACTTTAGTTGATTACTAACGTCTTCATTGCAAGAGACTGCACTGCAGTTTACAAACGCGAAGCAAGCCAAGGCTTGCTGACGCAATGAGGATATTCTGGTACATGTACATGTATGGTGTACTGTAAAAATTCATGTTGTGCAAAATTGCCAACTTGACAGGCAAAATTATCCGAAGTCATCTTGTTCGTTTCGCTAGGAGACAGCGGCGGTTATCCGCTTGCGCCGCCTCGACCACATTCCAGTAATCTCATCTTAAAACGCCGATCATGGCAGCGAAGTCGTCGAAAAACGATGAGTGTGTTCGTGTGATGGTCCGCATCCGGCCCATGAGCGGCAAGGAGGTGCAAGACGGACGACTAGAAGCCACCACGGCCAACTTCGATCGTGCCGAGGTGTCTATTCTCAACCCGGTGGCAGCGTCTTCCGAGCCCCCAAAGTCGTTCACGTTCGACGCTGCATTCGGCGCGAAGTCCACGCAACAGCAAGTGTACGACACGGCCGCAACGGAGATCGTGGAAGCTGTCATGGAAGGATACAACGGCACCATCTTCGCATACGGCCAGACCGGCGCCGGCAAGTCTCATACCATGGAGGGCTACGGAGACCAACCCGGTATCATTCCCAACTCGTTTAAACACGTGTTCGACAAGGTAGCCATCTCCAAGAACAAGCGCATTCTAGTGCGTGCATCGTATCTAGAAATCTACAACGAAGAGATCCGCGACTTGCTGTCAAAAGATCCTAAAAACGCTCTAGATCTCAAGGAAAACGCCGATTCGGGCGTGTATGTGAAAGGTTTAACCGCTCATGTCGTCAAAGACGCAGCAGAGATCGACCATGTTATGCAGACCGGTAAAAAGAACCGCAGTGTCGGTGCTACTCTCATGAATCAGACGTCGTCTCGGTCCCACTCGATCTTCACGATCGTTGTCGAATGTTTAAGTGAAGGTTCAGCCGACGGCAAGGACCACGTGTGTGTCGGCAAGCTCAACTTGGTCGATTTAGCGGGTAGTGAACGTCAGTCCAAGACGGGAGCGACAGGAGATCGTCTCCAAGAAGCCAACAAGATTAACTTGTCTCTCTCTGCATTGGGTAATGTCATCTCGGCTCTAGTAGATGGCAAGTCCAAGCACATTCCGTACCGTGACTCTAAACTAACACGACTGCTTCAAGACTCTTTGGGTGGCAATACAAAGACTGTCATGATTGCCAACTGTGGCCCCGCCGACTACAACTATGAGGAGACTTTGACAACGCTACGTTATGCAAGTCGAGCAAAGAACATTAAGAACAAACCAAAGATCAACGAAGATCCGAAAGATGCGATGATCCGAGAATTTCAGGAAGAAATCGAAGCTCTGAAAGCCAAATTATTGGCCATTGAAAAGCAAGCGAGTGAAGGTGTCAGCTTGGACGGCACTGTCAGTTTAGGTGGCTTTGCTAACGCTTCAATGGAGATAGTGGAAGTAGAGAAGATCGTCGAAAAGATCGTTATTGAAAAGGGAATTAGTATCGAGGAAGCGCAAGCCATCGCTGCAAAAGCTCAACGGGAAAAGGAAGAAATGTTGCAGAAAACACGTGACGACTTGGCGTTAGCAGCCAAAGACAAGGCGCAAGCCGAGTTGAATAAACGCGAACTGGAACTGAAATTGGAACGTGAACGGCAACAAGCTGAAGAACTGGCAGCGCAACAAAAAGTGTTGCTCGATCGACTAGCAGCAACTCAAGCTAAGGTGCTTGTAGGTGGTGAAATGATGACGAAAGCAGCGCAACAAGAAAACGAGCTTCGACGTACGAAACTCGAGCTGGAAGAGCGTAAACGTCAAGAACTTCAACTTGCACGGGAGTTAGCAGAGCGAGAAGAGAGTAACCTCATGCGGGAAGAAAAGTACCAGTCCTTACAAGAAGAAGCTGAAGCGAAAGCTCGGAAACTGAAGAAAGTGTACACCAAAGTGAAAGACGTCTTAGGAGAAATCAAGGCCATGGAGAAAGCTCATACTCGTGAGCGTGAGGATCTCCTGGACACGATTCGACAGCTTACGGCGCAGTTAAAGCTAAAGTCTCTGGTACTCGACTACTTTATGCCACCGCAGGCTGTTGCCATGCTTGAGGCACGCGCACGCTGGGACGACGAAGAGGACGATTTCACTCTCGATAGACTCGAGCTGGCTGGTAATACTCTGCGTCCTCGACAACGTCCCCCCTCTGCAAGTAGTGTGCGTCGACCCGAGACGTCGTCTGATAAAAGTCGAACCGGAAAAAAGTTTGTCATGTCACACAATGACGACGAAGTCGACGAAATTGCTCGTGCGGAAGAACTGGAACTTGCTCGCAATCCGTTTTTCATGTACGTGTCTGACAACGAAGGAGATGGCTACGCTCCTGCTGCGTCTCGTAAGAAACAAAGCTCGTCTAGTGGCAGACCGAAGACGGCCCAGAAATCGTCGAGAAGTTCATCGAAACGACCTGAAACGGCGTCAAGAAGAAGAAGCGAGAAAAAGTAGATCTGAACACGTTTCAGATTTAGCACAAACCAAAAGAGGGTTAAATTAATTGTCGGATGGTGGGTGGAATTTGTTTTTACTGCATAATAAAAAGTGGACCGATGACTTCGTTCTCACAGCGTACTGCGATGAGAAGGACGTGCATGAGCCAGAATTCCAGACTGCGTTGTGTCAATAAACCAGACACGAAGCCGCCGAAATAATTGCGGCAGTGTTGGCCTTGGTCGCCCACAGCTTCGTATAACCCCCAGCTGAAGACGTCACCCCATATTTCTTTTTTCTTTGTTAAAAAATCCGAAAGATCTTTCGGATCTTGCTTGGAGATTCCGCGAGTTTCCGGATCAACCGAACGAAAGAGCACCATAAAGCTGCCGTTGTCGTCGATTTGCACGCGAGAAGCCAACACCAGCGCCTTAAGCACCATGTCGGTGCCTTGTGGCTCAATGGTACGGTAGAATAGAACGTTCTCGTCGTTCACACGTTGCACGAGGTGGAAGTTTATTGCCACATCGGAGGCCTAGATGCGGTTCACGCCATGTTCTGAGGACACCAAGTCCCACATCCGACTGGAAATTTCGTTTGCGGTGAAATTTTCAAATGTTTTTTCAAGGAAGAAACGCATCGTGTTGCCGTCCACTTGACGTCTGTCACGCCAGCCAAAGACACTGGCGCCTGTGCTATCGTAGTGTTGCTTATCGGCGAATGCTCGAACGGCAGTGTAGGCTTCACGTACAATAGTAATACACTCGTCCTCGGTGATGGGAGTGAAGTGTAGGACAGGCTTGGGTTTTCTTTCTTGACTGGAGTTTTCAGTGTTTAAAGTCGGAGTTGCAGCACGATGTTCGCCACAAGACCAAGGCGATAAACCCAGGGATTCTCCCTTTTCACGTGTCTCTAGTTGCTCTTGAAGCTCTTCGTTCAGTAGAATACCAATACGTGTACGCGCTTTCGACTGTTCCATGGCTTCAAGACGTAGTTGTTCGTTCTCGTGGCGTAATTCTTCCTGTGTGATGGCTAGTTGCGTGTATCTTTCACGAAGCTGTTCGCAGCGTTGCTCTTCGTCTTGCGGTTTGGAAACTGGCGACTGTATCGGACGTCGAGAGATAATTGCTTCTCTACACTTGGTTTCTAGTGTTTCCATCTCATGGCGGAGCTCCACTAATGTGTCCTATGGAATGGGCAATCCTGTTAGAAATGGTCACTTTTTGCAACTTCGGATGCAAAAACTTACAATTTTGCGGTAGTATGATCGTTTGACCAACATTCTCTGCTTCACTCTTTTCTCCGACTCGGTGAGTGGCGTAAACCCATTGCGGCTCCGTCTTCTCCTTCTTTTCGTTTCTTCTGCGCCAGAGTCTTCACTTTTTTCGGGTTTTGCACTTTTTGCCTTGGGATTTATTGCAATTTCACCCTCGAGTTCACTGGGTCGTGTCTCCTCCGCAGCGGAGACCGTGGGGAGACCTGGAGCAAGTGAGTCGTTGATGCCGGTAGTCTTATCGGCTAGGGCCTGGATGATGCCAGTCATAGAAAGCTCTGGTCGATGTTTGCGTCTGCATTGACAAGCATTGAAAAATGGGTTTAGCCACAGTTTAACACAGCGAAAAAATTGAGTGGCGGGGACGCACTTTTGAGTGAAGAGGTCAAGCGATGCCATGTCCATCCGCTTCTCGGCGTGTCGACGTGTCGTGGCCGCAGGCCCGTTGAGTAGCTCGGCGATTTTCATGGCAATGGCAGAAAACGAGACGGCCAGGATTGATGAATCGCCGATCGGGCAAAACCAGGAGTGTCGGTTGACTCAAGAGTGAGCTCTTGATGACTTAGGGAAAACGTTTTGATTCGTGCTACACGCGCGTGCAAATGCCTCCAAGCAGCCAAGCGGGCCAGTACATGTGTCCGCAGCTCCGCTGACTACCATACAAACTCACAGTCAACAGTCTATCCCCCTGTTTTCCTTGTTGAAAAACCAAAAACTGATGTGCAAATTTGGCAAATGCAACTTGCCGCAAGTCGCTGATGGGATTCCGAATCCTTCCCAAGCAAAAGTGTTGAGTCCCGTGTCAGTTTGCAGTTGCCCTTTTCTCGCATTTGGCGATTGCTAGTATCGACGTGTAAAACCGAATCAAAGTCAAGAGTCTTGAGTCAGAACACAGCAATTGTGTCTGAATTAACTTGACTGTTAAGTGTAAGACACGAGAAAGGTGATGACCGAGACCGGATGGCGAACTGGAAAAGCGCGTAGGGCGCCCTGCTTTTTGCGCTCCCGTACCGAACTCTGTATTACTTAATCGCAACAAGCATCGTCATCAGCAGCGTGCTTGCATGCAGGCTGGCAAATCCTTTTGCTTGACCAGTACCACCGGTCGCCACCACGAGAATCGGGTAAATGTTGAAGAAAACGAGGAGAACAAAGACAAGTCTGACACTGTACATGTACGCGAAAATGCACATGCCATCCTCAAAATGGTTCTCCTAGAGATCCTCACCCACACATTGCTGACTCGGTAGTTGAAGTGGTCTCTGTGTTGAGACAGCCTGGTGAGCTCGCAGATCGCCATCCCAATCTACAAAGGTATCCATTTTCCATGGCAAGTGAAAAAACATTGCAAGTTGCAATGCCGTTGCCATTGACAATTTGCCAACTTAAGTTTTTAAAACACGTGAGACTGACACGACTTGGCAGAGAGCGTCCGAGCAAACGTTTGAAGTGTTCTGCTCTCTGCATCGTCGGATGGACTCGATCAGCAACCTCGCCCGCCTTCCCCGGTGTGGCCAGGATCGGGCATGAGCGAATTGGCAACATGACGCCATACAACGTCAGACAGGTCGATATGAACGCAAACTGTTTCCGCTTACATTGCAAATTGCAATTCAGTACTGTAGCGCTGCCTTCAAGCTTACTCACATGGCTACTGTACATACACTCCAATCTCAAATGTGCACACGAGTTCATTTCTTGTGTAAAACTTTTGAGATCCTGTTTCTTTTTTCCTAACGCGGTCTGTATCAACGCATTTCAAAAAACCCAGCTAGTAGCCGGTTTTCTTCGTCTTGCCTCCAGTTGCGGCCGCCGCGTACGGGTTCTCTCCCCCGGACGGGCCGTACGACGTGTATGCTGGGTGCGCGTTAAGCGGCTGACGCTGGCCTGCTTGTTGCTTGCCAAAGTAGTTGCGCGGGTGCGGGTTGTACGGCTGCTGTCGCACCGGCATCGTGATCTCCTGGTAGCCGAAGCGACGGTGGCGACGCGAGTGCATGATGTAGCACGACAGCGCCACCAGCATGATCTCCAAAGACACAATGACGAACACGAAGACAGCCACGAGCAGCGATTGGTCGTTTACCCACGAGATCATCCGCGTCTCGCAGGCACAGAGCATCGTGTGCTCCGTCATAGCGTTACTTAAGGAGAAACTCAAGCCAGCGCACTTAAGAAAGTTGCTGCCACTTTGTAGTTGCTTGTGTCCAATGGGGCAATTCTCCTCCACAAAAGTTGCAAACCAGCTAAACTCTGGGTTGGAGCATGAAGCGATTAGTGGCTGGCTGCGTGTGTCTGTGAGGTCGATGTCCACGTCGAGGCCGCAGCCGTAGTACACGTATTTGAACCTCTTGTTGATCCATCGTAGCGTTTCTTGGTCAGCCGGTGCCAATACGGACAGGTCAAAGTTGTGTCTGGCCACTTCAACGAGTGAGCTGTGTACGTGGGTCAGGAAGCCAGCCAGTGAGAGCTGCGCGACCACCGAGACTAGCACTAAGATGGCGTAAGGGAAGAGGAACACTTTGCTCTCCCATTGCGCTCCACAGCAGCCTAACATCGCGATTAGGATGATAAGAGCGCCACACATGATGACGGAGGAAGCAACACCACCGTCTGAGAACTCTGTTAGTGCCGGTAGCGACGCCATGTAGCCTATGAGGATGAGACGTATAGTTAGTGATATATGAGGCTGGGAATTGCATGAAAATTAGAGACCGAACCTCCGATCGACACGAGAACGGAGCCTAGCAACAGGAACAGCACATTCGTGAATACGAGGATGCTACGGGACAGCGAACGCCACGCATGCATGGTTTATCGAGCTTTTTCTTGCGATGTAGAGAGAGTTACGACACGAGACGAGTATGCGCAGGGGGCGTAGATTGTGGCGCAGTAGAGGGAAAGTGCGGCGGACGATGACGAGGAGCGTAGACTCACGGAGCGAACCTCAATGGACCAAGACCACGCACTGATTTACTGTCGATTTTTTTTTTCTTTCGAGGGAGAGAATACAGGATCAGAAAGACTCAGATTTGGAAAACGACTCAGATTTAATTATTTTCCTTTTTTTAAAGATGGGCGGTCGCATGACGACAAACTCGGCGGCACCTGTGAGGACGTGGGGCTCTCCGGACGAGAATTTGGTGCTTGTGGACGATGTTAAGGCGCTGAAGCAGGCGGTACACGACGAGATGGAACTCATCGGTTGCGGCTTCCACCAGCATCGTGTCGTCACGTAAGATAGCAAAACTAGAAATTTAACTTTTTGTATAGCTTGACCTAGACATCTGGTGCAGAGTTCTAGGTTTTGGAAATGTGGCTGATGCAGTGGAGATTCTGGCAATTGGATACATCTTGACAGTATACGAAGACTCCGAAGGCGAGATGACACCATGGGAGTCCAGTACGTGAATATTTATTTGATATCAATTTTTTTATTAATTAATTTTGGGTTTTTTTATAGGTCTGTTGACGGCTGCTGTATTTGCTGGAATGTTGGCTGGTGGATTGGTGGGTGGTGTAGCTGGAGATCTCTATGGTCGTAAACCAGTTTTACTCGTGACATTGGCCATCAATGCCATCGCTGCCTTTTTGTCAGCTTTCTCACCGAATGTGTACTGGCTTATCTTCTTCCGAGCCATGGCGGGTGTAGGAGTGGGTGGAGTGGTGGCTTCACTCTTTGCCTTGTGTCTGGAGCATGTCCCCGTGTCGGCACGTGGACGATATGTCACTATTTTGTGCTCCTTCTGGATGGTGGGCGCAGTGTTGACAGCGGGCACAGCGTGGGTGATGCTCGGCAAATATAGTAATGGTGAACGGATACTGGAGCTGTCGTGGCGCTGGTTCGCCGGAGTGGTCGGACTACCGTCATTCACGTGCTTTTTGCTGACGTTATGGCATGTTCCTGAAAGCCCGCACTTTTTAGCAAGTAAAGGTGATGCACAAGGAGCTACAGCAGTGCTGCAGTATATTCACGGAGTGCATCAAAGTGGGCGTCACATTCAAATTAAATTCTCGAATGAAGATGTGAAAATTGCGAGAAAGATGGAAGCTCACACAATTAATTCGACAGAGGAGAGTGATGATTATAACTCGCACACTGCTGTATGCAGTCGTGAAAGTCTGCGAGTTCTAGCTCGTCTATTTGAAAAACCGAACGCAGGGCCGACGTTGCTCTTGATGTTGTGTGGATTTACGCTGAGCTTTGGCTCCTACGGTCTGTCCACATGGATCACGAAGCTATTCAAGAGTGCAGGACTAGAAAACCCATTCGAGAATGCGTTCCTGTTTGCCGGAGCGAATCTACCGGGAAACGTGGTCAGGTGAGAGGTATTTGTGTTTTTAGCCTTGCACGGAATTCTAGATACTATATCTTTGTTTTCTAGTTTGTATCTGATAGATATTATAGGCCATCAACGCCTATTATCTGGCGCACTGTTCACTTCTGCCTTCTGTGCGCTACTATTTGCCTTTAATGTGGAAGGCTCCAAGACGATCATTGTATTAGTCTCGTGTCTCTTCAACGCGTCTACCACTGCGGCCTGGAATGGAGTACGCTAATCTTTTTTTTTTACATTTTTTTTTTAATATTAACTTACCGTGATATTTACCTCAGTTCGGCGTTCTTTCGACTGAGAATTTCCCTCAGGAACTTCGAACTTCTGGAATTTCAGTAGTGAATTGTTCGAATCGCGTAGCAGCCATCACGTCACAGTTTGTGAATGGATTTCTCATGGGTCCTCCGCCTCATCTTGAGGCTTTATTGTTAGTCACGACCACTGTTATGTGTGCGGGTGGGATTGCCTCGCGCTGGATTGCTCATGGCGGGGATGACGACATCGATGTTGTCTGCAAGAGTGAAAGCAGCGAGGATACTGAAGCAGACCCTGAAGGTTCACCCAGTTTGTGCGGAGACGAAGGAGAACATGCAGGTCTGATTCGACATGATGTTCTTCTCAACGAGAAGAAAAATGTGTCGCCTAAAAGAAACATCAAAAATGGAGATGAAGCTGGTAAAAAACAGTTAGTGCAACGAGCTCCAGTCGAACGTACTAACGTCTCTGATTAATTATGTCAAGACGGGTTAGTTCACATGTTAGCTAACAAAAACAAAACGATACTTGTTATGTTATTACGCAGATATATCTATGCCGTCAAAGTTGAGTTATTGTTTCTGCGTCCAGGCAAATTTGCACGCAGCACACGACGCCACGCACGAGCTTCTTCGACGTTGCGAAATCGCACGTGGATCACTTGGTTCTGTGGAGAGTCAAGTGAAATGATGAGTTCTAATGTTGGAGGAGCCGATGTGGTGCTTGCTGAAGGCAAAACCAGAGATCCACCACGTCGACGCGCCTTAACGTCTTCGACGTATCCTCTCCAGCGAGGAACTTCATAGGGTTTGTCGCTGTTATAATACGACAGCATGGAGCCTTGCACCACGAAGAAGTAGCGTTTCCACAGTCCCAGAAACGACGTCTTTTTCTCCATCCAGCCACTCTTAACAATTGGAATGGAGAGGCGATCAAACCGACACAGTCCATCGGGATCAAAGGATGACATGCTCAGCGTTACCTCTTCGCTGGACCCGGTAGTCCACGACCGAGACTTTCGACGTGCAGGAGTCTTTAGTGCGCGAAGCCACCGGTTACGTTCGTGAGAGTCGTGTGCTCGAATGTCGATGACCTTGCCACACGCACCATAGACCTTAAATCCCACGCGGTTTGTCCGGTCAGTGTCGTCAATATGTGCCACTCGGATGACACCTCGAGGCTGACAGCCATCACCGAAGTGAAAAAGATTGCGAGACGCCCAAGCTGATGCCACGGAGGCTTGGGCTTGCTTTAGGAACACCTCAGCAGGAAAACTCGTGAAATATGAAAGCATGGTACCGTCCAGACAGAAATACCGGTGACGCCAACGTCCGAGACGTGTTCCGCGCATCCAAAGCCAGCCGCAGAACTGATCTTCCAATGCCAAGTTGCCAGACTCGAGCGGAGGAAGATCTCGCGACGTCTCGACGTAAGTCATGGTCGCCCAACTGGGTGGCTGCTCTCGAGGGACCTGACATCTCGGGAAGGAATTCTCGAGTTCGCGCTCGACTTCAGCATCCGATGTGAAGGTCGACAGCGAGCGCATAACACGTGTGCACGTCATTCTCTCCAAACCACTTTGTTAGATGCCGCAGTGATCGCGTGCTCCTCGCAGGGCGAATAGAGCAGTTAGTTCCCCACGACGAGAGTTTCAAAAATGAGGTGCTACAGACCCGACTTGAGAAGCAGCATTTAAGCAGCACATGCCCACCTTACGTAGCCCTCAAACAACTGGGCCACGCAGTCTCATCTCGCTAGGAGCCGCTGGAGACGTGTCGCGCTTTTCGACCAAAGCTGGCCTATAAATACTGATCGGGTTGGCGGTTCGTTCCTCGACAGTGGTTCAACGGGCAACTGGCAAAGGTAAATGCGGACGACTGCGATGATGACAACGGGTGGCGTCTGTGGAAGACTGCTTGATCCCAAACTTATGAATCGTCGAATATTTTGCTGTAAAACGAATCAAAAACCTTCCAGAAGTAAGAATGAGATCATGTCCCCAGCACGAGAATCATTATTTATACATGTAAAGCGATGACAATAGCAATTTGAACTCAGTATGAAGCTTCATACCACATCTTCTCAAGATTTCGCTGTCCGCTGTCTTCGTAAGCCACTGATTGACCGCCTGGAAACGCCAACGAGTTATCGAAAAGAACGACACGAATAGCACACAGAACACCCCCAACTTGTTCGGAAACTAAGATGCTCTCAGCGAAATGCTGGTAGAAATGTACACGTCTCCATCCCTAACGGCGTAAGAAATTTAGGAGTCAGACCTGTCTACGACGCATCTGTCGAACGGAGCGGAAATACAGTGACCACGCCATTGAGTTCACGAGACGCGATCTGACGTCGTTGTAATGACAGTTGAAGCGCAGAGAGGATACGTGGCTTGCCATTGATCGAGTGATGGCCCACACCACAGATCAATAGACACCGACGAATACGATGCTCCTGGCAGTACTCGATCGCCTCGCGAGCTACCCACAGAGCCTCCATCACGATCATGCCGTGCAAGTCGATTGGTCGCTGGTGTCTACCGCAAAACAAAACAGAAAACAGAAAACACAGTCCAGATGAAAGCCTGCAGACAGAGGTACGAGCCGTTGGAATAAAAAAAACTTTCGAAAACTCACTTGACATGATCTTCGTGCGCCAGAAAGAAATCATGAGCCCACTGCCGTTGAGCATCGCGGTGTTCGCGACGGGCCTTGCTTAGCCTGAGTTACAAAAGAAAACACAGTCAAGCGAGGCCATAGGCAACGATTGTGCTGCGTCACTCACTCTCGAACACGATCCGCTGCAAGAACGTGCTGTCCACGTCGGAACGATGCCAGGACATCGCAGTAACGATTGCTGAGTTTCTCCTTCGCTGTGTTGACCTTGTGCTTACTGGACACAAGAGTCCAGTCCTCAGAACGTCCGCCTCGGCGAGATTGGCGTTTGCTATTAGCAGCAAGCTCTTCCTCTGCATCAGCTGCAGCAGCCGCCATCTCAACTTCCTCGGTCACAGTTGGCGGAGGTAGATGTTTCTCTACCAGCGGCAAGTTGTAGATCTCCCGCAGTGCTGCCTCCGTGGCATCTGAGCTGCATCCATTGAGGAAAAACGTCTATACACAGAATATCAGTCTAGCACCATTAGTTCCTTCAGAATATAGCAGAGAACTGCAAAGACGGACGCGTACGGTCTGAATGACACTAGCATCAATGCTGGGCAGCAATTTCTTAAGCCGATCCAGCTTAAGTTGCGTCGTGATACCTGACTCTGCGCGGTCATGCGGTGCAGCCTGGTGGTCCCACGCATTGTATACTGGCTTGGTCTTGCCTTTCGCCAAATGTTTACGTGCCGGCAGCATGGGGTATGCTATTGGTGGAGGTGAAGGCTTCGGAGGCGGACGTTGATGTGGTGCCTGTAGCAGTTTCTGCTGCCTACGCTGGTGCCTCTTGAGCTTCTTTTGCTGCGTCTTACTCGGGACACCGAGCTCTGGAAATTGTCCAAGCGAATCCACCTTGGGTCCATTCACATACAGCTCTCTCTGTTGCGCTGCTGCACGTGCGTCTGCGTTTACAACTGTAGCGTAGCTCTGCACATGATTCAGTGCACGTAAGTTATGTAGCGCGTCGGCGGCTTTCTCGACGTCATAATTATGACTATCCAGCACGTCCTCCACCACCTCCGCCTTGTAGTCCGGATACATCTCAAGCAGATACTGTAGTGGATGCATATCTTCCGCTTCACTGCCGTCTTCACTGTCTTCGTCTAGACTGAGCAGCAATTGTTGCACGAAGACGCCATTTGTGGACAATAGGTCATCGCGCTCGCTCTCGGGCAGCTGCTGGAGAGCTGCAACGAAGGAGCTGTCTTCGTCTAGCCCTAGACCGCTGCACAGCTCGCTAAGTTGCAGCTTGGCGTGCTCTTGTTGACGCTGTTGTCGCTCTTGAAGTGTGTGTTGGTCCTGCTGACTGAGCGTCTTAATGGCTACGAGACTCAGTACGTCGTCCACTGCGCGTGACACATCCCCGTCACATGCTTCAAGAACACGCTGTACCTCTTTTCTCGTCACTTTGGACGGTAATTGGAACCCGTCAGTGTCGAAAGTTGCAGTCATTTCGAGAACCAGGTCAATTTGGGCGGTCATTTCAGTGTCTTCAATCGATTCTGCGTCGTACGACGCCAAAGATAGCGATTTTAGCATATCAGCTGTAAGAGGAGACAAAGAAGAAGAAGATGCGGTGTCGGTCGACGTCTCGGACCCCAGCATCGTCAAGTTATCACGCAGAGAAGAGCTACTCAATCGACTGTTTCGACAAACACACGAATGCGGAACTGACATGCAGAGTGAACGTCACTCGAAATACATGTGAGCCACACCAATAACTCTAAATACATGTTTGTCACACCATTTTCCCATACGTCCATAATCCACTTGCCATAGTCAGATTGAGTATGGGGGACCGGAATGAGAACGGTCGGGTTGTCATGATCGTGCGGGCCAATTCTCCGCGCCGCACCGACGGCAGTCCGGGCGGTAGTCCTGGCGACCCGTTGGCGTTGAATCTCGGGGCTATGGAGGCAGACTGGAGACAGCAGCAGTTCCAGCGTCAACGCATGCAGCTCCTCAGCATGGCCATCTTTCTGTGTTTCCTCGTCCTCTTCTTCGACAACCGCGCGGGGGATGCGCGTAATGCTCATCACAGTCGAGGAGCAACCGACGGTGCGGGACACAACCGCTACTCGCTACCTCAGAACGCCTTTAACGATACAGACAGAGTCCAGAAAGTGCATGAGCTGGAAGCGCTGCTACAGACGCAGCCAGACTACAGACATACGGAGCCTCCACTTAACGTGACTGGTATCTACTCTGGCACGTGGGATTCGCTGCTAGCCGAGGAATACGACGCGAATAAACCCGTGTATAAGGACATTATCCCGTACCTAAAGGTAGACCGAGAGATTCAACTACAGCAATACACGCAACCAGTGGAAAAAGGGCACACGTGGCTGTTCCTTAAGATGAAGACACCCGCGTCTAAAGAGCTTATTAAGGAGGTGGCGTACGTCACGGGGCAATTGGTAATTTACGAGGAACAGGCGTCACTAGCAGCCACGATTCTGCCCGTACAGGGCGTTTTCCTTCGGAAATTAGGCAGATTGACGCTGTTTGGCAATAGTCCGGACTCGAGTGTGCAGATTCTGTATCGGAAAGACAAAAGCGGCGAGAATTCGACCGAAGTGGAGGCATTAACAGAAGCTCCGTCGCAGGAGGACGATGAGAAGGCCAATTTGGAGCGATTACCGCGACAACCAAGAGCGGAACTGATGAATCTCGGCGTGTTGGATGGCGTCCCGGCCGTGGACAATAGAGACGAGTACGCAGCTGTCGATATCTCGCCTCCGAGATACTCGTACGTCTCGCGGTTCCGCAGTAGTGACTCGTTCAGTGACCAGTGTGTGAGTATTGTGGAGATGTCGCTGGTTAATGACACGAGTAAGCCTGCAAGAAAAGGAGGAGAAGATGAGGAAGACGACGACGCGGCTACAGTACTGCAGAAGTCGATGCGTCACATGAAGCTGGAAGGCACGCTCGCTAGTGTGAACTGTGGCCTGTATTTGAAGCTGGACACGACGTTCCAGGAGGAGAACTTGAACGTTTTCTTCGCCAAGGCCTCGCGTTATGCCGTCATCATGACGTTCATTGCGATGACGGAGATCTACTTCTTGCTACGACAGCTCCAGATCTCGAGCACACAGGCGACGGCAGCGAAGGTTTCGTTGCTGACTATTGGACAGCAGGCGATTGTGGACTCGTACTTGTGTTTGGGCCACTTGACTGTGGGGATTGTGGCGCAGAATGTGTTCGCTGCGTTTGCATCGGTCGCATTTGTCAAGCTCATTATCTTCTCGGTGTTTGAGATGCGATATCTGCTGATCATCTGGAAGGCACGGAGACCACAAGGGTTCTCAGAAGGATGGCTGACGTTGCGACGTGAACTTACGACGCTGTATTCGCGGTTTTATCTGTCTCTACTGGCTGGACTCTGCATCTTTTACAACTTCTCGGTACGGAATCCTCGCGTTTGTATGGTGGGGTTGGGTTATATACCCCTGACGTCTGTGTTGTTTTATTACAGAACCACTTGCCTGTGTTGGTCTTTATTTGCTACTCGTTCTGGGTCCCGCAGATTGTACACAACGTCCACAGGTATGTTTGTGGCGTGAGAGACTGCGTGATGGGTGGGCTTATTAAACGGGTTTTTGATAGGGAGGTGCGGAACCCATTCGACCTGGGATATCTGTACGGCATCAGTGCGCTGCGCTTGTTCCTGCCTTTGTACTTCTATGGCTGCCCTGATAACTTCCTCACAGCATTCCCGATGGTAAGAAGGCGTCGTGTTGGGAGCGTTTATTATGCCTGGTGACATACGTGGTTTGTATTGCAGTACGAGAGCAAGATTAACCCGCATTTTTGCTACGTGTTGGCGGCGTGGGTGGGACTGCAGGTGGGGTTTCTGGCACTACAGCAGCGATATGGCCCGAGGTTCTTCGTGCCTGCGCGGTTCCTGCCCGTGAAGTATAACTACGAGCGACGCATCAACCTGCAGCAATTGGCACTGCTTAAAGACGGCGACAACTCGATCGACTGTGTGATCTGCATGGTGGAGCTGGAGATCGAAGCGCGCGACTACATGGTCGCCCCGTGCGACCACATTTTCCACCGCGAGTGTCTGCAGGGCTGGATGCAAGTCAAGATGGAGTGTCCAACATGTCGACATGTCCTACCAGAGCCCTAGACAGAGAAGAGTCTTGACGATGTCTGGTTGTCGCACCACTGAAAAGGAGGGCGGAACAAACAGAACGACGAGGGCAAAAGAAACAGGGAGACGAGTGTTTGAACGTCGTCATCTTGGCCGTCCATCACGTCGTCACAATGCACGACCAGCACAAAAGATGGGCTGAAGGCAGCTCTACTCGTTGGCATAAACGTCATGCTGCCCGTGTATCGATGTCATGAAAGGCAACGATACTCTGGTGACTCGTTATCTTCTGGTGAACATATCGGTAGCTTAGGGTGATTCGTCTTTCTACAATACAACAAGATTATCTATAGCAATGGACATGGCCTGCGTCTAGTACGATGCTGGACTTGACATGCATGGCCTTGCGTTGTGATCACCTCAAGAGTGACATGCTCCCCGTTGTGTTTGAGGCTGGCAGGCGATGTATCATGGCTGTCCAACGATTAAGTTCAATGCCTGCTGTCTCACGCCGGTCAGCGCTCGCGCTGTGCCTTACAGTTCAGCTGACTAGGTGTTTGTAAGGAGCTCGGAAAACTAACTCATCATTTCGAAGCGCCTTATGTCGCTTGGTGGTGCCGGAGCGATCCTAGATGCTCCGTCTGCCTCCCGGTCGAGGACTAGTCTGGCTGTGCTCATTGCTCTGACGACGACAGCCCGTCCTTACGTGCAGCCGGAAGACTGTGACGCGTGTCCACATTAGTTTGTGGCCATTTCGCCCATGAACAAAAGTGAATACAACTTGCGCGTTGTTGAGGCGTGTCCACCATGACGGAAGCGAAAGATACTAGTAGTACTAGTCTAGTACCGGGCACCTGGTGCAGACCCCAACATGACCGAAGCCGCGCTAGCACCGACGGTCTCGCTCATGAGTCGAAGAAGAGCGTCGGCATCATCAACACAACAGGCAAAAGCAGCTGCTTCACGTGGCTCGGACGCAGCTTTGTCCGAGACGACACAGCGAAGTAAGAGCAGCGGGGGCACTGCGAACAGCGAGAATGTTAGCGAGAGTGGCAATGCAGCACGCGGTGAGGCAAAAGCAGGAGGTGGCACTCCAGCTATCGACCAAAATCATCCAGATAATTTGTGTCGGTATCCGAACAAGCGCTGCTACGACAAACGCGCGGTGAAGAACAACGGCGAGTTGCACAAATTTTGCGATAAACACCGCGATTGGGCGAATCGATACCAGCGGAAATTGGAGCAGAAGCTGAAGGAAAAGCGGATACAATCACAACTACGAGCGTTTCAGGCCCAGCAAGAACAAGCTCAAGCCCAGGCACAGGTTCAATCTCAGATGACTTCCGTGCAAGGCCTCAGACACAGCCCGATCAACGTTGGTGGTGCTCTCACGAGCAATTCTCTGGTTCGCCCATATCCTGGTCTAGAGGCGTATGGTGCCGCTCTGACTGGCAACACAACCCTTGCACAAGTACAACCAGCAGTAGTAGCTCCCTTGTCGAGTGGAAATGGAAATTTGACACAAGGCGAAGATGAATACGAGCCCTACCAACAGCCAGTTCAGCTGCAGAGTGAAGACCTCGACTGCCTCGATTTACTTTTTGAGCAGTAAGGATTTTTTCAAAGGAGTGTTGCCTGTTATGCGTGGATATCAATCAGACTACTTCGAAGAAGAATTTTAGTTAGTGAATAATGAAAGTGGTCATGTAGTTAATCTAGAAACATGTGGGTAAATTGTTGCTAGCTCGAGCAAACAAATCGAATTGCATTAAAAAGGACCACTTGGTCACGAGTCAAAAAGTAGTACTTTTCAGTCGTCAGGCGCAGAAGGATTTCATCGATGTAGTCCACCGACCTACCGGCCATCGCCAATTTCATAATGGCTTCATGACGCTTATCGAGTTCATCTTTCTTCTGCTTATCGAGCACACCTTTCTTCTGGGTTACGTTCGTAGACGTGTTTTCCAAGAAAACCGTGGCCTCTTGGACAGGAGTGAAACCCGTAAAGCCCAGCTCAGCGCAGAGCGATGATGTGGACTCAACGACGGTGGGTTCTTTCAGCACCCAGAGCATTGACGAAACTTGAGGGTCACCCTTCAGGTGATGCGTACACACAACTATGTCGTCGGAGTGCTCAAGTGCACAGTCTTCCTCTTCAGACATCAGGATAAACGCGCGCTCGTCAGCAAATTCTAGACGAAACTTTTGCGGTTTCTTGATTTCGCACGCGTCAAACCGGCAGCAAAAAGGGTCATCGTTTTCGTCGTCCGATGTCAGGTAGTGCTTGTTGTTCATCGACTTGATGGCCACACTCCCGTCATCACAACGGACAAACTTAGACCCCAGATCTGTGCGATCTCCACCCGGACGCATGCCGCTTCCCCTCTACCGTTCTCCACTAGTACAGCTTCAGTGCCTTCTGAGTTAATCAAAGTTTTGCCGGCGTATGTTTGCAGCATAACCGGCTTGCCAAAAACGATGTCACCTGGACTCATGATGGTGCGTTTGATTCCGAGCTCGAGAGTTGAGAAGTGGGAAAGCTTACTTCCAATAATTCTTTCGGATCTGAAATCATCTGCTTGTTCGGAGACCGTCTTCGGAAATGAAGATGAAAGATAATACTAAGAATAAGGGATGGAGCCCGTGCGTTTGAAGGATAGTGACCTAGAGCATGTCATCTTGGTCAACTAAAGTCCATCCATAAGTCAATACTTATCTCTCTACAAATTCTTAAGTTAGCAATGCCAAAATCCACTCTGTCATTTTGAAATACATTGGGAGCGATGAAGGCTCTATACCTTCCATTAGAGCTGTGCGGTGTCAACGTTAGCAGTGGCATATCGTTTCGTGTGAGGATCGTGAGTGGCAAGATTGGAGAGGGGCTATGGAAGTTGGCTCGCATCAAGCTGGAGCACTTGGAGGGACATGCGGTGAAGGTGTCCGGCATGTACATCACAAAGGACTCGAACGACTCGTGAGTGACACTCTCCAAGCCAGATTTTGGCAGCCTCACGTGTTGCCAAGTGCCTTACAAATAATGAGACGTGTTAGTCGACGAGAACATAACCACACTAAGCGACACTCTTTCGTCTTGTGCCTTTCCAGACCAGAGGAAGACTTAAATGATAAGATGCACTTCTTCGTGCACACACGTCGTTCCTTCGGAGTCAACCCAAAGTGGCTAATGCCGCAGCAGGAGGAGGCGGATCGGAAAAAAATAACTTTTTGGGCAATAATACGTACAATAGTGGAGACAATATTTATTATTGGAGCAAACTGCAAAAATTTATACAAAAATTGGACAATAATACCCAATACAATACCTTAAAATACTAAATAAGAAGAGTTTAGAAAAACAAAGTCAAAGAGCTGGTTTCTACGTGGGCCAACCATTGTGTATTCTCGCTCTTTCCGACTGCGACTTTGTTTTCAAGCCCTTTTCAATCTCACTTCGCTATTTACTAGCATTTCCACAACTCAAGACCAGCAACTTTCCCTTTTGCAGCATCACTATGCCCACAAGCGCTGACATCCGTGCTTTCTTCTTCGAAGCGGGAGCCGACTATCGCTATACGTGCAAGATCTGTACCGGAGCTCGCAAGCAGGCTTCCGCTACCGGCTACTCCAACCTGCTCTCTCACTTGGGCACCAAACACCCCGACTACTTGACTGAGATGGCTACATCTCGCCGTGCGGAGAACGGAACGATGGAGTCCTTTAACTTCGTCTCAGAGGCTGTGGACCATTTGTACAGATGTCTACGCTGGGTTGTGGTGCGTAGCTGGCCTCTCTGTGAGGTGGATGACCCGCTCACGCGTGAGATGTCGCGCCTGCGATCTACAAGTTCGAAGACACTGAAGGTAAAGATGCATCTTGCTGCCGCCAAAGTCGGCTTGATACTCGAGGAGGAGATGGGCGACGTATTTGGCATCATTTTCGACGGGTGGACGCATGGCTCTACGCATTTTGTCGCATTGTTCTGCGTCTACATTCACGGTGGCACATTCCGTCGTCGATTGCTATCGATTTCGCCAGTCGTTGAGGGGTCGCAGACAGCGGACGTACATATTGATCACTTCCAGCGGGTCCTGGACTTCTACAACAAGACACTCGTCATGGTTTTGTTCGTTGTTGGTGACAATTGCTCGACGAATCGCTCGATTGCGATAAAACTGGAGGTACCCTTGGTCGGGTGTGCCAGTTACCGGCTCAACTTGGCTGTCCAACTACTTTTGAGCCGGTACGAGGCGGACCTGGATCAGGTGAGCACGCTCATGGTACAGCTGCGGCACCCAAACAATAGTGCCGAGTTGGCTAAATTTACTGAGCTTCGCCCAGTTAAGAGGAACGCGACGCGCTGGTCGTCAACACGCGAGATGGCCTCCCGCTACATCAAAATCCAGGGCGATATTAGGAAGGTTGAAGCGGTTGAGGAGTTTCTTTCTTCTGCATCCGCCCACCAAAAATCGTGGCACTGAACGAAGATTTGCGCGTGTTCGACAGCGTCTGCAAGAGGTTGCAGGACGATGAGACTACGATGGCCGACACCCGATTGCTGTTTAATTCGCTCCTGGATCGGTACCCAGATTTGGGCTTCCACCTGGATCTGTCTTCAAAAATAGTGCACTGGAACGCTTCCAAAACCTACACAAATGCAATCACAAACACAAAATTAAAAGTGAAATGTGTTGAAATGTATGTCAAATTTGTGTTATGTCTGCTACCATATCAAAATCAACACATTTAGGGTTATGGGTACATGTACGCGGCCGCTGGCTGCTGGCCATTCACCCTTTTGATGACTCGGGACACTTCCCAGCGGCTTGTATTAGCGTGCGATCACCGAAAGGCTCGTTTAAAGAAGCAGGGTTTTCTGCTTCTACGGTTGCGCTGTTTGTATTCTTTTGATCGCAATGCTCTAGCAGTTGAAGCACTCATTGATCCTGCTAAATCTCCCTGGTACACCGTGTATGCTAGTCGAGATACACTGCACTTGCCCTCGATATATCTAAAGGCATGCTTCGCTCGTCGAATCTCTGGGGGACACGATGGATCGCCTATATACGTTTAAGGATGGACGATGGTATTACAGCACACTCACATGTCGGCTTTTTAGCGTTATTCAAAGCGTAGAACTTGCGACACAACGACTCTGAGTCGCGCTGCGGCCACTTAGCAGGAAGGTTCTGATTGTAAGCGTAGTGGACATCATCCCATTGATTGATTCGAGCGGGAGAAACTGCTCAACGAGAGATAAGAGGCCTGCAATATTATTCGTGAGATCCGGTTTGTGATGCACTATGGTACGTACGTTCAACTTGAGACGTAGTGAAGCCCCGTCCTCTTCCAGCATTGCGGCAGCTCATGGCAGGAGTTACTAGAAGTGGGCTTGACTGGACACTGGTAGCTGTACCAGAAATGAGGTACAATGATTTTGCGTCGACACATTTTGTGGAGACGAGAACTACGTCTCAACATTTTACTACCGATTTGTGACAACAAATACGTCAGAGCTATGCCAGACACAAAAATCGAGTTTGTGTAGGTTTTGGTAGGGCTCCACTCACCGACTTTTGAGAATGCGGTAATTAAGGTGGCAGACGGTTCTCTATTAACAACTGCTTAGGCTAAATCCGTCTCGAAATTTGCTTCGGATCGACCGACTGGCGTTGGCGATAAACACAAGAGAGACCGCGCTCCAGACTTCGCTACGACGGTTCTGCTAGAAGGCTTAGCAGCGCGCAGGACGGGCCGCTCATCTGTGGTCTACAACGCTCTACTAACGAAGATTCCACCGACGAGTAATGCGTGCGAGCGTCTGCTCTCGCAGACGAAGCTTATTCTGACTCCGCAGAGAGGGCGGTTGGCAGATGCCAATTTTGAGGTACTAACCTTTCTCCGTGCTTACCTTGATATGTGGAATGCAACACTCTCGTTGACACTACTGCAAGCGACTGAGAGGCGTTAATGAGGACGTATGTTTGACGATGGAGACGAATATGCCCAATATATTCAGTATATTGCAAAGTTATTATTATTGCTTCCTGTCGTATTGCAGTCGCTATTACGCAGATTATCGTTCTTCCGTAAAATAAAACATTTTATTTCCCGATCCCTTCCTCGACATGCCCACCCCGCTCAAGTTTGTGAATCGTGGAAAAACCGTTCGGAATTTCGTGGACATTCATTATTCGCACTATCAGAGACAATACGCTGCCCGAAGAAGCGAGTGGCAGATCCCACTGGCTGACAACATGTTCGGCAAGACAGAATTTGCCCCTTCATTATGTCAACCAGTGCCGGAAGCGCTTGGGAAATCCAGATCCCAGTCTTAATGCCGGGATGAGGACGTTCATGACAGAGCTGTGTGCTAATCAGGCCATCCGGGTCGAAGTTCAAAAAGGCAATTTCGTCGGAAAAGGGCCTCACTTCAGCGTGATGAATGAGCTATTAGCAATGAGAATTATGGCGCAACCTGACCCGACTACGGCTCCTCCGGGTGTGCTGACATCCAGTGTCGACGACACACCGAGGGTACTTTGGAAATGCCTCACACTGTGGGTCCGATATTTGTCATAATCGACGAGGCAGGGCGGAGCAAAAAAACGTCTC